TCCCGCCGCCGGCTCCCGTCAGCCGCTGCCCGCCCCGCGCATGCGCTGTGAACAAAGCCACGCTCCCGTGGCCGGCCGCAGGGATTACTTCAGCTGCGCACGCCCTGCACCTCCCATCGGGGAAATACTGCGGTGCGCATGCGCGGGGTTGACCTGTGGGGCGGTGTTGGGTGTTCGTGCCACACACAGCATGGCGCCGAGGTTACCTTCTCTGCGCTGGGCTGTGCGGCCGTCAAGCACGAGCGGCCGCAAAACGAACCTCGATTTTGCGACAGCGAGCGGCGGCCGGACGCGACGGTAGCGGCTGCAGGGGTGTGTGGAGAGCTGGTGACTGGGGCCGAGAGAGTTGTCCGTTGCTGTCGTGGTGAGCGGCTGCGCCGGGGCGGGCTGTGGGCAGAGGCGTTGCGCGGGGACCTTGTCAGGGGTCGTGGTGGCTTTGCCATCTGTTGAGAAGATGGTGGTAAGTGCGCGTTAGTTGTTTTGAGCCCCATTAGGCGCGGCCTCTTGTCGTTACGTTGCTGCTCCTATGGTTTCCAGGCCAGTTTTGTTCTCTGTGCCCAAGAGCGCTGGCCATTCCCGAGGAGCCTTCCTTCAACCTCTGCACAGTCCTCCTCCCCACGAGAGCTTCTGAGCAGAGCTACCCTGCCTCCGGTCTTGTCTCTGCGGCAGAGTCCAGCCCTTCAAAACCCGAAAGGGAACTGTGAAGCGGGTATCTTGAAGTGCCCTGAAGTACCTATTTCGACTAGGTTTTGTAGCGGGACAGCAAGCGGAAGCGTTGTGTAAAAATGGTCTTTGTCAAAGTATCTCCAGTTTCTTAAGTAGTTCCTGGGAGAGGCCTTAAATTAATTTTGTGTCTTGTACTGGTTATTATAGATGCTTTTGTTGATTAAGTCAGTTTTTTACATCAGCTTGAGCTGGTATTGCTGTCCGTTCGTTCTTACCCCGTCTGGTCCCTTTCTCTCAACACAGATGTTTGTGAGAGTCCACAATGGAGCAGCTTGAGGAGCTGTGCTGAGGGAGGAGCTGTCTGGCAGACTCGGTAACAAATGCAGCTGCTGTCTTTCAGCCCTGGCTGGGGTCCCTCATCTCCTGTTTTGCCCCCCTTCCACAATCAATAGAGCTTTTTCTGAGCCGTCTACGAGAAACTCTGCCCTAGCAAATCAGTGAGTAGGTGTCTGAGCCAGTTCAGGAAAGAGCCAAATTAAATATTCAAACTGATTCGAAGGAGGCCATGAATTGCCAATAGGTTGGCTTGGACTGCTGCCAATGTTAAACCTTTTCTCTTTATTTTTTTTTTTCCCCAGTTCAGTCTGAAAACAGGCCAGTTACCCAGTGTGATAAATCAAGTGACTGTAGAAACAGCTTGTACTGTCACAGTTGAAGGGGTGAGTCTGCCTCTATGGGCATTAATAGTGGCCTGAAGCGGCTTACATTGGCTGTGGCAGAGTGATACAAGACACCTTAAAACGTTGCTTCTCTATAAAAGGATTTAAAGCACAGTGTATCTTTGTGAAATGGAAGCTCGAGCAATATAATGTTTTAATGTCACCTCATCCCTAGGCCCTGCAAAGATTGTTCTTCAGTCACACATACTTCTGAAAAAGCAGCCTTAGTGTTGCACATCTGTAGCTCTGTCATGATTCACTCCAGCTCTTCAAACAGTTTGGCTTTGTGTTGTCACAGAGAAAATAAACAGGTTTTAAAAATCAGAAGCTACTGTAGATAAAAAATGCAAGTCATTAATCCCATCTCAGTGTCCTGCTTTTTACAATGATTAGTGCTAGACATATAGCAGGCTATGTGATCGTGTTCCTGGGAACTACACCGTATCTGTATTCTCTCTGTTGTTTTATCCACACAAAATTGCTGTTTGAAGGCACAGCTCAAAGCTATAGGTGTGCACCTGCCTGGAAAACTTCATGGGATGAGAGCTATAAAAATGAGTATCTGTGAAGTCTGGAGGATATTTTTGGCTGTCAAAAAATATTGGGAGAAATAAAATATAAGTGAAACAATAGAAATGAAATAGCATGTAGTAGTTCTTGGGCTTTCTGCCTTCCAGACTGGGCACCTTCAAATTCCAGATATCCTCATGGGCAGTGTCACTGGTAATGGCCAGGTGATGTGTAAAATTCTGGACCAGAAAAATCGAAGGCTGAGCAAGGTTTGAAAATGTTAGTGGAGTGTGGGAAGGCAGTGATAAATAATGCAGTTTATAGGTGCAGACAGAAAAGGAGTATGACAACTGGTGAATTGTGATGGAAATAGAAGAGGAGGTTTTGAGGCAAAGTCAAGAAGAAGGAAGTTTCTGGGGAAGAGTAGAAATACAGAGTAAAGTGATCTGCAGTGGTAGAGCACATGCCATTCATTTGTTGCTCTTCCTCGGCTTATCTATTGACTAAAGTGCTTCTCTTTAAGTTAGCAGAAGATAAAATATCTCTGGTTCTCAGGAAATTTCTACTGGAAGAGATCTGGGACAGTGACAGCTGTTTTTGTAGGTCTCAGACTCAAAGCCACAAGGATTCTGGCATCATGTGGGATGGTGCTACTCCAACATCAGTCTTGAAAACATACTGAAGTTCTTCTCTTTAGAACACCCCTTGATTTTAATTTTTGCCTTGGAGTTCTCATCCACTCTCCATTTGAACTCTGGTTTTGGTTGGGGCTTTATATATGTATTTGTTGTGCTTTATTTTTTGTCAGGCACAAAGGTGGTTTTCCCCCACCTATAAAAATACTCTTTCCTGCATTCTGATAGACTTCAAACATGATAAAATATGCCAGAGAATGTCCCGAAGACTTAGTACTCAGGGATCAGCAACATATATGCAAAATGCAGCTTACAGGAGAACAGAAACACTGGGACAGCAAAAATACAGTTTTGTTGACATATTATATACCCCTGTGAAAGTTTTCTAAAAGCTGAATCCTCTGGGATCCTCTAAGTCAAATCAAAGTTTTCGGTTTACAGTTCAAGTTATAGAACACATATATGCTGTTTACAGTCCTCCAGCATAAACATACTATATGTTTCAATGCTTTCATCAGTATTAGAAACTAGTATTTGACTTCACATTCTGCTACTAATAATGAATGTTTATTTCCACTTTTTAAGCTTTCCAGTGTGGTCCTTGCTGTCCTTACAGTCCCAGCTTTGTGCAAATACAGTGCTTGTTTTGTTCATGCAGAGCTAGCAAAGTCCTGAATTTCCTGTCTTTGCAGGAGAACTGTAAAAACTTATAAGGAAACAACAGTATTGACAGCAGACTGCTTTAAGTCATAGAATGTCCTTGCTGTGACTGAAGGAATAGCATATCTTAGATGCCTGTAAATTTAGTTTACCTGCAGTGTTGTAGCCACAGCAGGAAAGAGCTAGATGCAGTCTGTGAAATCTGCCTGGGACCTTGTCAGGAGTCCACGTGGATTGCTCTCCCTGCTGCTGTGGCAGTGCTGTCACTAGGTCAGTGAACTGGTACGTACGTGTCCCAGCTAATCTAAATCTGGTTTATGCATGTCTGCAAGCCCTGGCATTGGCTGTGGGATAAACATGCCAGGAGAAAACTAAACAATATGTAAACTGTGTAGCAGGTAATGTTTTGTGTTTTGGTACTCAACAAAATGATCACACACTAGCCCTAGAACATGCACTCTTTATTAAACAAGTACAATAAAGCAAACAAGCACAGTAAGCCCAGTCAGGTATATAGCTATATATGTAGTAAACAAGCACAATATAGTGAATAAGGTGTATATATATAGCACAGAGGAAGATTAGCAGTGCATCAAATCATTAGAATAGTGATTAAGAAGAAATGCATCACCTATTACCACCAAATAGTCATCATCAGGGCAACACTTCAAGCTGGGAAGCCTTGTTGCAGCCAATGCTGGGAGTCCTGGCTAACTTGGAAAATTCTTACATGGTGCATCCACCCACCCATAGGTGAGGCTTCACATTCGGCTACAGGAGGGTCCTGCTTTTATACCCTTAGAAACACAGCTGGCTTTATGCCATTCCTGTAGTTGTTTACTGGTGTGGCCATGCAGTTTCTCACGATTTCTCTGTTGGCTATGACAAGAATGGGGCAGGGCGCCCCAGTGTGGTCAAATGTGAAGATCATAGAACAGCTGCATGCTTATGTTTTCCTACTTCTTTCCAACAAACAGTCATAATGAATATGAATATAAATATATATATTCATGGGATACACTTTATCAAAAACGTCCTTTGGTATGTCTCTCACAGTCATGAGCGAGGATCAGCTCTCAGTTAGGTTCCCATCCGTTACACATTCCACAATTACAGAACATTTCATGATGGGGAATCTCAAAGTCCTTTTCTCCCTTCAGAGCAGAATTTGGCATTAATCCTTAGAGATCCTCAAGATTGTTACACAGTTCTAATTCAGATTGGGATTCTCTTTGAATGTCACATTGCAGTTGCTAGATAATCAACTGCAGGGATTTTAAGTGATGGTGTCCTTGTTTGTTTTTTTTTTGTTGTTGTAAGTGAGCAGTCTTAAGTTTGCCTCACATTGGAACAGTGTCATTTGTCAATACAATGAACTTGACTGTGATACTTCTGTTTCAAAAATGAACTGCATAACACACCCAGATAAAACTGGGTTAGGTAAGAAACTTCCATATTTCTAAGGAGTATAGTTTTACTATATTTTAAGTTGCTACTTTCCAATAATACTGAATTGTGTTGTCTTCAGTCTTACAAACAAAATCATAAGGCTTCAAAATTAAATGGCAGTAGATGCTCAGTTTTGTCATAAGTATCTGCATCATTAATAACTGAAAGAAAGACTGATTATTGTTTTCCTCCCCCAGTCTAGTCAGACCTCTTGTCTTACTTGTATTTCTTACAGTGGGTTGTTTTGGAAAGCTTTGTTTTAGTGGGCTGTCAGGACAGGGTCTATTCAGCAGCTGCCTGGCCGGACATAGGACTTGGTAACTTAGGAAACAGTACAGAGCCTTTCTCATTTTTCTCATAGGCATAATAAAGCAGTGAAGAGGAACTGGGGGAAGGAAGTATTACATGTCTTACTGATCAGAAAACTGCCTCTGAAATATCTGGACAAACTACATATATATGTAGCAAAATCTGAAAAGGTAGGATATCTTCCTTTTCTGTTTTATTCAGAAAACCTCATAACTAATAAAAACCTCTCTCGCTAGTCTCAGTGGGGTTACAAAAGTAATTTTATATGTGAAGTAGGAATGTGAAGCCTAAAACATACTCTTTTACATGACTTCTTTGGGATCTTACTGAACTCTTGGCTTTTCATGATAGGATTCTGATGAATGCAGGTTGCTGGTTAGTTCTTTACAAAGCTTTCAAATCCATTTAAAGGCCATTCAGTTTTATAAAATAGACCACGTGAGAGAAGACAGTAGCTCTTCATGATTTCAGAGTAAGCTGCAGTTTTGGCTTCTTTTTCTTCCTGATTATTAAGTATTTCTCTAGGCATGTGGAGATTTCATGCTGTTCTCTCTGGAACAGAAGGCTACAATGAATAGAGAATCTTAGACTTTTCAGTGTGAAAGCAATATGTTAAGTGGCGTGCAGTTCATAAATACAAATTCTGCTAGCTGGAAGTGCCCAGCTATTGTCTGTAAGGATACTTTTTCGTAAGTTGGTTAGGCATGATACAGAGGGCTTTAAAATGGAAAGCTACCATTTGCATTTGAGCTTCTACGGTGTTTCTGCTTCAGGTAGAATTCAAGTAAGTAGAAGATCCATGTTTCACAGTGGCTGCTAGAACTGTGTTCTGTAACAGAGTTCTGAACAATCATGGCTCAACTGCCCGCTAAAGTGTTTGCTTTCAGAATTCAGAGAAATGGGGATTCTGACATCCAGCAGTACAATCCTCAAATTCTTATTTAAATCTTAAAGTCTCTGAAATATGTGTTTGCATCCTCACTGTGAAGTTCTTTATTCACATTAAGTTCTCAGTGTTTCTAGGGTTGCTTCCAGGTCTTTTTGTGGATCTGGCCATACAGATTCAGGACAAAGACCGCTTTATTTCTCTGTGTTGTTTTAATAGGTTGAAAGTGTGTGGAGAGCATGGGTTACGATATTGAGCGTTTTGTTGGCTACGTCAATGAAGGGCTGTTATGCTCCATCTGCCGCGATGTGTTAGAAGATCCATTACAGGCTCCTTGTGAACATGCTTTTTGTACTGCTTGTATACATGGATGGCTTGTTCATCACAGTAACTGCCCTGAAGACAGACAGATGATTGATGTGTCTTTGCTACGGCCTCTCTACAGGTATACAGTAATACTGCTGTATGTTGAAATCACATGAATTTAGGATTTCTCAGTTCCGCTTGCACAGCGTTATCTCTTGTCATTTACTGTCACTCATATTGTCTTTATCCAATGTGCCTATGGCAGAAACTGATCACTTGCATGAAAGCATTAGCATTTTCTATTTATTATAACTAACTTTCAAGGTATTAAGATTTCAAACACTTACTTTGTTCTCCATTTTTTATATCTTTAATCAAGTTTCTAGACATCTCTCTGAATATTATTCTGAATGTCTTCTACAGCAACAAAGCATTCAAATACTTTTTTAGAGAAATCAGGCAAAGCAGCTGTTGACAACAGTCACTAAACACTGTATATCTTTTGTTTTTCTTTTCAGCCTCACCTGGATACTGTAGTTGGGTTTATAATGAGTAATTTCTGTAAATACAAATCCAGCTTCTCACCTTTAAATCCTTTTTAAAAAATGTCTTTATGCATAAGAATATCTGTCTTGAGCCACCTTGTCATGTAAAGCAGGCTGATTTCACAAGTGTCTTCCATAACTGGTCAGGCAGTTGGGCTAGATGGTCATTGTAGGTCCATTCCAAGTGAACTATGCTATTCCCAGTGCACAGAGTTTCATCAGTAGACACCGCTTGCTGTTTAACCCATGCATTATCTAATCTGCTCAGATTAACAATTACATGGTGTTTAAAACCTTCAGCCACAGGTGATAACTGTGCTCCATTTGTACTCAGTACTTTTGTCAATAATGAGATTTTCTGCCTGGAAAGTTGACATGCAGTGTAGACAGAACCCTTGAGTTTAATTTACAGATTGTTTGGTATGTACTCACTGTAATCAGTTTGGTTTGGCATGTTTAGAAACAAAATTTAAAATGATGACTGAGTAGCCCTTTGACTGCTGAGCAGTCATGGTTAAAAAATGATTAAAATAAAGATTTCATTTGCACATTTAATTTTGGAGACTGAATTTTCCATTTACATTTGTTTCTTTTAAGCCTGTTCTTTTGCAATATGGAAAACAAAATATTAAACAGATAATTCACACTTTTTCCTAATGGAGATTAGAATTTTGCTTTCTTTCCCTGAAGTTGAAAATACAGACTTCTCAGTAACATTCCCAGGGATTAGAACTATTTTTTATTTTTTTTTTTTCAATGTAGATACATGAGAAATGATTTAAACCGTCTTCAGCTACATTGCAAAAACAGGGAGTATGGCTGTCAGATGGTTTGTTCTCTGGAGTCTATAGACAGGCATGAAAGGGAGTGTGAATACAGTCAAATACCTTGCTCCAATGCCGGTGAGTAACATTTAAATAAATTGAATCCTTTATATTCAGAAAACATGTTTTTGTCATCTTTCTGTCAACAGAATGGCGGTAATGGCCTTTATTTCCAAATAGAAATTCAAAGCTCTGGCATAATCTGCTCTTTACAGCAGTGGTTTGGGACAAAATGTATTACTGATTTATGGCAAGCATGATGGTTAGCAACAGTTTCTTACCCAAGAGCTGACCAAAATGAATGAGTATGATGGACTTCAAATTTATGAAGATACAGTAGTGCATTCGCTTTGCTTTCTATCTTTCAATGAGGTTGTCTTTCAATTTTGATTGCTTCTTCTGATGGTAACAGCACTTACAGATGCTTACAAATCACAGTTTACTTACAAAGCATTTGGTTGCCTGATGCATGTGCAACTGTTCACTGTCTCCTGATTTTAACAGAAACCTATCATGGAAATAAGAATTAGTTTAAGCTAAATTCTGTCTAGAATTGTTGAGATCATGATAAGGTTTTTATTTAAAACAACCTACACCTCTTGAGGAAGAAACATACCGCTAAAAAGGATCATAGTGTTGAAATTTTATTCAAAATGTCATATATTTCGAGACCAAAATTAATATCCTGATGCTAAAAGAACAGCTAAGTCTGTTGTTGTATTTAATTATAAGAAGATTAAGGTGCTAGTATTGCTCCACTGGAAGTTATAATTTCTCTCAGAAGTGACTCCTGCAGGCGCTTCAGATTCACCTGGTTTACTTTCTACAGAAACAGTAGCATTTATAGAGTTCCCACACCTTATCTTTGGTGTCTGGTGTTCAGGGCATGAGAGCTTTTGCATCTCTTGAATTCTTACTATGTGGACTTACAGTGGACTGTATTTTGAGTACTTCAATTACAAATCATTTATCAGTAAAGCTCTTCTAGAGGGCTGATGTTCGTAGTTTTCTGGGTTTTTTGTTGACAAGTTTCATTGGTTCTGTTTTCTTATATGGATTTTACCTTAAAATTAAATGCAAGTATGTATTACAGCAAGCAGTCCTCTAAATATTAAGACTGCAAACTTCAAATTTAGAGTGTTACATGCAGCAATAATTTATATAGTGTTTGTTTTCAGTTCTCTACATTTTATTTTTCAATCACTACAGGTTTGTAAAGTTTGTATCCTAGCATTTCTGTGGAAACTTTCCTATTTTTGAATCAGTTATTAAAAGTTCATAAATAAATGTTGTTTATTTATGTGGTCTGGTATGTTATACACAAGACCAAACAAACTGTGAGGAAAAGAAGGTTACATCCCATCTGACCCACGTCTCTCTGACTAGGTCTTTGAACTTTTTTCCTAAATTTGATAAAGGTAAGGGTTGGTTTTTTTTAACTCATGGGCATTCTTCAATTCTAGTCAGTGTAATCTGGTGAAGCACCAGCCAGCTGCCAGTGTCTTGGCTTGGCATCAGCACTGTCATTACTGAATTTGTTTTAATGCCAGACAAGCAGTAGAAGTCTTCATAAAAAACAGGATCATAGAATGGTTTGAGTTGGAAAGGACCTTAAGATCATCAGGTTCTAATCCCCTCCCATGGGCAAAGATGAGTCGCACTAGACCATGTCACCCAAGGCTCTGTCCAACCTGGCCTAGAACACTGCCAGGGATGGAGCATTTACCACTTCTTCAGGCAACTTGTTCCAGTTTTTCACCACCCTCACAGTAAAGAACTTCTTCTGTGTATCTAACCTGAACTTCCCTTGTTTAAATTTAAGCCCACTGCGCCTTGTCCTGTCACTACCATCCCTGATAGTTGGTCTCCAGCATCCTTGTAGGCCCTACTATCAGTTTTCACAGTATCGCAGTGTGTTAGAGATTGGAAGGGACCTCAAAAGATCATCTAGTCCAATCCCCCTGCCGGAGCAGGAACACCTAGATAAGGTTACACAGGAACGTGTCCAGGTGGGTTTTGAATGTCTCCAGAGAAGGAGACTCCACAACCTCCCTGGGCAGCTGTTCCAGTGTTCTGTCACTCTCACTGAGAAGAAGTTTCTTCTCAAGTTTAAGTGGAAGTGTTTTCAGTGTTTCAGTGTTTTCAGTTTCCAGTGTTTTCAGCTAATGAAGAAATATCTTACTAAGACTTTTAGAGTGTTTTATTACAAGTTGTGTTACAACTGTCATATTCACATTCTAAAGAAATTACTTTTTTTCATTGCTTTAACAGAGTGACAGTTGTTTAGCTCAGGACATTGCACCTTCCTTGTGCTTTTGTTAGTTGTTAACAACTGGCTTGTTTTACTGTTCCGTGTTCAGGCTGTACAGTTCAAGTTGAACGACGTAACTTAGACGGTCACCTGGCAGTGTGTGAATATCGGAGCCGTGAATGCCCCAATGGCTGTGGCTACACCATTCTCAGTGTGGAAGACACACAGCATAATTGTGTGGCAGAGCTAAGAACCGAGCTAGAACTACTTCGGTACAAATCTTCTCTTTCCTTTAATGTTTGTGTTAGCTTGGGCTTAAAATCACTGCCTAAAGCATGTCAAATACTAATGCTGGATTCTGGTATGTGTTACATAGTATGTTAATTGCTTGATACTTACGGGCCAGCATATTGTTATGGGTCAGCATAGACTTGAAATTCTTACTGGTTTGATTACTTTGCTGTTACTTTGTTTTTGTCCAAGTTATTATAAATCCTGAAATGTCATTGCTTGTAGTGGAATAAAGCTGTGAGCTGACTATATACAATTACAAAATACCTAAGAAAGTTGGACTGAAGTTGGCAATTTCATTTTTCCATTAGACTATTACAGACCCAAAGTCACATTATTTAATAATTGCATTTAGTTTATATTTGTACAGATCCAGAAGATAAAAACCTATAATTATTTTGGCAGGTACAGACTGGTAGATTAAACCTCTGAGGATCTAATTTTCATTTTTAATAAAAACTCTGGCAGATTAATAACAAATTAGTGAATATGACTCTTCTTACCACCATCCTTACACTCGTTTCTGTAGCTTTCCCTTTCCATGATATTCCAGTTCGATTTGGTTTTTTTTCCCATGCTCCTCCCCATTTCAGTCTTTCAAGTCATTGTCTAAGTCTTGTGCTCATGATTGCTGTGAAGTCAGGCTCAGACCTGATTTGAAAGCATTGAGACACAAGGGATTCTGCTGCCTGGTTTCTGAACTCAAAAGGTTAATGTAGTAACAGCTAGTTTGGGGCTGTGAAGCTGTGTGAATGATTAGTTTATAATAGTTTACTTCATATTATTGTTTAATGTCCACCATAAAAGTAACAAGATATTTAACAATACTATATTATTCAGACTTTTTATCTTGACTGCATGTGTTTAGTAATACTAAGCAAGCAGATGCTCTAGGTAAAAGGCAGTAAATCATTTAAAATCAGAAATACATATTCATGAACTCATAGAATTACTTCAGGAATATGATACAGTTGTCCCCTATGTAGACTATGTGAATGGTCACATAGTGCCCCCTTGCTAGTTTTATTTAAATTACTAAGCAGTACTGTCGTGCCTCTGGAGGTGTGTCCTGCAGAATGTGATGGGAATCACATCGGGTTGCTTGGCTTCCAGAAGGCTTTCTGGAATTTGAAAATCATGGTTTTCCATGCCTGCAACACTTAACAAGGTGAAATAAACTTTTTTAGGTCAGAAATGATCTGCAGAGTGGAGGAGGCAAAGCATGAGATGGAGTCAAGGTTAGATTCACAGAGGAGGCATATGGTCCAAAAAGAGAGTATTCTGCAAAATGAAATTGAAGAACTCAAGGTAAATAGGATCATTTTATTTTCTGTTTTCCCCCTCTTCTAACAGTCTAATGCTTTGTTTTTCCCAATAATAGTCTCTTACTCTGTAGATGTAGTCTCGTACAGATGAGAATTACATTAAGTATGGGAAGCAAAACAGGTGTTAGCACAATGCTTTGCAGGCTAATCTTCTCTGGGGAGAAGCAGACTGAGTGCTCTATTTGTGTGGTTTATCTACCTCAAATTCATTTGGAGCTAACCTTGGTACCCCTGTACAAGGACTGCATTGTTCTGTGCATAAGATGTTGGCAAATCAGAGTGAAACTCATTATCAGTGTCTAAACACGTGTGTGTCTACATCACAAGTCAAATGTAATTAAATATCCAGCTCCTTTATTAGTGCTATGCAAAGTGACTTAGTCCAGGGCTGACACAGAGCCCTGGTGCAAACAGTGGTATTTACACTCTGATTCAGCTGTGGTCAGAAGGTCGGAAAGTTGCACTGTAAACTTAAGTAATGAGCAAAGCCATCTTACCTTTTCATTCATCCAGTTCTTACTATATCACAAAGTAATGACTTTTTAAAGCCCAAAGCAAGTACTTTATAGTTTACATTTTTATTTTTATTGGCTGTAATGTTAAATCCTTGAAGAATATACCTGAACATAACCAAACCCTTACTTTGGTCAGGGTCTTGAAATAGAAATGTAAGCAGCAGCTGGGTAAATCCACTGTGTCTTATTACATTTTATAAGAAACCTTTATAAGAAACCTTCAGGAAAGCTGTTTTGGAATCTTTGAAATGAGGTTATCTGAGAGGGTGAATGCAGGACTGTATCTCAAGTTGTTTATTCTGCTATCAGAAAGTTATTTCAGTGTTATTCTTTATAATCCCTCACCGTATGTGCGTGGCCAATTCAACTTCATACCACTATCACTAGAAAAGAGTTTGTTTCTTGTGGTAAATCTGAGTTGCATTTCAGAGTCAGATGTCACGAGTGATGTCAGATGTTCGCTCCCTGATGGCTGCAGAGAGACAACACCGTCAGGAACTGGAGCAGGCAGAGCTGGAAAAACGGGAATTAATGGAGCTGCTGAGGGGGCTGCAGAAGGACTGTCGCTTAACCACTGCAGAAGGAAGCAGGAAGCCGACAAACTTCCGCCCTCTAACACGACTAGAAAGCGTGAAACGAAAACCTAGGGAAGTTACAGTTATCTAAATAGAAGTAAGCTCAAAAAGCACTTTCTTCTGTTTTCTGTGCCCATCCAGCTAACTTTTCTACTTTGGATGAATGACTGGTAAACTTTACTTGCTGTCTTTTAAGATCTATATTACTCTATTTTCTCTTGGGGCATATAAGCAAATGGAAAAATTCTCTCTTAGGGAACACAGGGCATTAAAGCCAGTAGTTGACAATACATTTTTAGCTAATGTTTTTATAAAAAGGGAGGAAGAGACTTGATTTGTCATCTCTTCAGTGTGTCATTTACAGGAGTCTTTCAAGTCTTTGAAAGTCAAAGATAAATAAAGGTTATTACCTTCCTGGTCCGTTGTAGTTTGCCTAAGTAGTTTATGCTTATGCTTGAAACGGAAAGAAAATGTGATCATCACTAATGACATTTGGGATGCCTTTCATTGTGGGAAAAGTCAGGAATAGAATTAGTAAGTCAGTAATAGAGATTAATAGATCTTTGTTTCTAGTCTGTAGAAGGTCTATTTCAAAGGTGGAGAGAAAGCACTTTAAATTGTAATTCTCCTGCTATGTAATAGCTTCAGGTGAGGTTGACTTTTACTTTAGAGCTTCTCTAATTTCCCAGGCTAATACACACTGAAGAGACTAATACCAAAGCCTGAGGTAATAGAGTCACCCAGAACCTTTTAAATACTTGTGTAAGTAACTTGGAGTTTGTGGGAGGGGGTCTGCATTTGATTTAAAAATTTGAAGTTTTTATATGTGCAAGTATCAGCTATTTCTACAGGGTCCTTAAAGCTGAAGACCAGCCTGTTTGGTACTCGGTATCTTTAAAGCCTGTATAAATAGGAGTATCCTTAATTTTCTTCTGGCAGGTTTAAGGCTACTTGAACTTTAGTGTCCACAACAGACAAACATTTGTACAGTCACTTGGACTTCACGTGTCTGTTAGTATTCAAGTTTGCAGTTGTGTAAGACCCATGAATACTGAATCACAGGGGCATTTATCTGTAAGGACTGCATGAGAAATCTGTATAGTTCATTGACTTTTCTCTAAACTTCTCACCCAACCTGTTCACATGGGTTTCACTGGTATAACTAAGCCATAGTCTGTCCATTGCAGCTCTCCAGTGGAGTCACTTAGGGAAGAACCTGGCTGCTGTTTACCGAATGTGTGAAATCAGCTTTGAACTTTCAGGATAATGCGTGCAGGTGCAGCAATCTGAATAAGCTAATTTTATAGTTTAGAAAGCAAATAAATGACTGTTCATGCCTTGCTGTCACTCAGAGCAACGCTTTTATGGCTAACAGCATAACCAAAGAGAGAGGCAACAGTCTTCTGTAGCACATACGCTACATTATAAAGACTTGCAGTCACAGCTGTCTGATTTCAGGCATCAGTAAATCCTTCTAACTTGCTGTTTCTGTAGTACCACTGAAGCAGATGTGCACATGTTCAGATCTTGTGCATTTAAAAACTGACAGAAATAACTCTTCTGTAAATGTTTTGGGTTTCTTTTTCTGCAAGAGAACATTCATAGCAAGAGTTATGTCCAAATATTTACTTGTTTTCAGTCCTTATATTGTAGATGAAATTACATTCATTGCCAGTATTTAGATCACTGTAGCAGTCTCACTAACTCGTGACATGGCACATCTCTTAAGCAACCATATTAACAATCTGAACCAGTAAAACAATAGGTGTAATTTCGGAAGACTTGCATTCACACTAAACATTCAGTGGTCAATTCATTCACATCAGTGTGTGTATTAAAGCTGTAGGTGGAAAGTAAGAATGAGTTTATTACCTTGTGTTCTAAATAAGGTAGCTGTTGGTGTCTGTTGTCTGTGTGGCTCTATTTCAGCATCCACTCTAATTTTGAAGCTTCTTGGCAACACCAGATTTCATGCTGTTAGAATCAATCAGTGCTTTTTTCCTGTAACTGTGTGGTTCTATCGTGTGAATTTATCTCCTTTGCTTAACATAAAAGAAAAAAAAATACTTCAAAATCCTGTAGAATTCAGATGAACTGGATCGTCTTTCCCAGGTTGGAGGGCAGTAACCCAATCTTTCTGTTCTGACCACACAAAAAAGCAAGTTATTAGCTCTACCCTTTCTCCATAACTAGATCTCTGCATTTGTCTGCTTTAGGCGTTTCATCCACTTCTTTAGTTTAGTGTGAGGTGTCCCTGCCCATGGCAGGGGGGTTGGAACTAGATGATTTTAAGGTCCTTTCCAACCCTAACTATTCTATGATTCTTTCACTAAACTCCTCCCAGTACAGGAAATAGGGTTTATTTAATATTTACTTAGCATATGGTGTGCTGTCTGTCCCCTGCATGACAGATGAAACTGCATGAGAAAACACAGCCTAGGTGGTAAGGAAGAACTTTTAATCTGCACAGTCTGTTTAGCTTCTAGCTGCTGGTTCTGAACTTCCAGTATGCAAATGTGGCAACACTTTGGACCCACCTGCTGCTGGAATGACCCATCAGCTTGGGTTTCCTTTAGCAGCAAAGAAGCACTTGCAGAGATAGGTTAAATAGTCGTGCTAGCAGTTGGTAGCATCAGATCCCTCCAGTTACTTTAAGCTTAATCCCATTCCTCTGTGTTGATAACTGTTCTGCACTTAAGACTTTGCTGATGAACTGCACACAGGGTGGAATATGCGGAAGTGTAGTCATCGTTTTACCTGTCTTATAGTTGCCTAGGCTGAAATTAAATAGCCCATTATATTTTCTCTACTTTTAGCTTTCCCAGTCTCATGTATTACACAGCTCTTCACAGCAGCTGGCAGAAGCAAGGGATTTTTTTCTTTCAAATAGTCTGTTAATCCTTTTTATAAAAACTAAGGGTCTAAATTTAGATTAATAAATTCTTCACTGTGAGGGTGGAGAGGCATTGGCACAGGATTATAGGAGGCATTGCTGAAAGTGCATTACAGGAGGGCTGCAGCACCGAGTTACTGGTGGCAGTATCTCATGCTAAATCACGGAGAGAGCAGACTGTGGAGCCTGGTGAGTGGACCAAAAGAGTATTTGCACTCCAGCTGTCTTCCCTGAGCCCGAGGGCAATGACGTGGCTCCCTGTGGCTGTGCCATCAGGTTTCTCACCAGGGCAGACTGCTAGCCTGTGGCATTACAAATAACCTAGCATTAGAGTTAAAAGATTAAATCCTTATCCCCAGGTAAGTGGGTACAAAATATCATGGTGCCAAACCTGGGAGTTTCACAAACAAAACTCATAGAGCATGCTGTTTAATAATGTATGTGAGACTACAGGGTATTACAAGGAGGATTGGCTGAGGGAACTGGGGTTGTTTAGCCTGGAGAAGGCTCAGGGGGGGACCTTATCGTTCTCTGCAACTGCCTGAAAGGAGGTCATAGTGAGGAGGCGACTGATCTCTTCTCAAAAGTAACAGGAAGTAACCCCAGCCTTGAGGTAATGGTTAGACTTAAAAGATTTTAAAGGTCTTTTCCTACTTAGTTGGTTGTGATTAAAGTGGGTGAGAAAGAATACACTGAGGAGGCATTCAAAGAAATTACTATTTAAAGAAAGTGGTTATCTTTGAAAGGAAATCAACATTTACATGGTCATTCTGAGGACCCAAGAGGACAGTTACAGGTAAACTGTTTCCCTTCAAATGACTCCTCCCCTAGAGAGGTCAAATTACAGACAAAACAGTTTCCTCAGTTTCCTTCAGCATTAAAGCTGTGTTCCCTGTTCTGCTGTGCTCCTCCCAGGCAAAACTTGTTAGTGGTCTTTGCCAGCACAGCTGCTGGGATCACTTGAGCTGGAGTGGGAACAGTGAGTTTAGGGAGGCTTAGCCGAGTTTCAACAAAAGGCCTGGAACTGAGAACCGCACATTGGAGGGCCGAGGGAGAATTTTGCTGACCTCTCAGTTGGGGTGGCAGTTTGTGCTTAGTATGATTCTAGTGCTACGTCAGCAGTCTCATATGAGAGAAACTCATTTAAGTAGCAAGCAAGAGTTTGTTGGGGTTCTTTTTTCAGCACAGAAAGGAATGGTATTACACATACAACATACCTAATAAAGTATTTTTAACTGGACAAAAGTGATTTTATATCAAATGCTGTTAGTGCTTTTAAGAAGTCTGATCGCTCCCATGTGGCAAACAGTTCTATGATGTACAGAACTGGTAGCCTTGCAAGTTAACTTTTCCATATGTTGTCCTCTTGGACGGTTCTGGCATGGTGCTTTTCTACAGCCATTTCACCTAGGAGTGGGGGGTGGCATTCAAAAGGAGCAATACGAGCCTTGCCTTTCTCCATGCTGTTTGTCAGGTGAAGGATGGTCAGTCAGGGAGATTTTACCACATAGATAGATGCCTTTATAAAGACCTACAATTCTATGCAACTTTCTATTAACAGATAAACACTGACCTGTCTTCCAGCATTATGGTTCACTGCCAGTCTATGTACATTTTCTACCTTTATATACACAGAAGAATAAAACGGTGCTTAACAGATCTTAATCTCTAGTCTGTATGAGACAGTAACACTCTTTGTATTGCTTTGAAGTATGCTTTGTATAAAAGTTGAACTAATAAAGGGTCTACACCATGATTACTGCAGTTTGGTTCGCTTCTTTGTGCTGCACAAGTTTGAGTATTCTTTATCAAGTGAAGCAGCACAATTCAGGTGTGCTGGCTGCACAGCACAGGGTCGGTGCACTGGAATAGACAAGGTTATGTTTTGCCAAGAGAGGCAGTATACAGCAGTAAACAAGGTTGTGTCCCTTTTCAAGGACTTCTTTCCTGCCTCACTGGTGGGAGTTTTGCATGGGATGAGGAGCCGCTTTGAAGGTGAAGAGCTACCCAAAGCTGAAAACTCCAGGACTACACAAGTGTGACACTCCAGTTCTGCAGAGGAGGAAACACTGACAAGAAGAGGAAAATTAATTCCCTCAACTGAAGGGATCTTGTTCACAATGTAGGTTTTTCACAGCCACTACAGACACATCATGTGCAGGATATGAACATGTAGGAACAGGAAAACAAGTTGTTCACAAGGTGTGATCTAGGGATGCATCTGCTTAAACATGAACAATCAGCACAGAGCACTGTAGAGCATTTGCTGCGTGCAGTGCTCTGCATTAACTGCCTTGAGCATATTCTCCTCCCAGAGGGTAGGAGTTACTCAGTGGGTTAAAAAAAGCTGAAAGCTTGCACAGCACAGCTATAGCGTGCAGATAACCTGGTACCTGCTTACACCTACCCATCCACATACTTCCAGTGTTCTGGGGCTCCAGTCAGGACACAAAACTTGAACATTTCTTTTTGGGCAGAGTATAAAAAGCAAAATTTAATACTTAAAACTGTTAATCACTCATGGTAGGAATCCAGTTTAAAAGAACAAACCAAGTACCTCTAAGTTTTAAACAAACAGCATTATTTCAAACTGAATTTATCCGAGAAAGGAACCGCTTTGCATTGAAGGGTCACAGATCTAAATTCATTTTAAAAAACCCCAGACAAAACATGATACGTGTATACTTCAAATCTAGCTAAATTTACAGAGCTTACATACATCAAACAATTCAACCAACCCTTTTATCTCGTCCTAGACTGAAAATGACTGGTGGGCATGCCATGTGTTTTGAACGTTCAAGAACCAAGACTGAGTATTTACATATTTATTCCATGCTTGACACTTTTCATTTCAAATCCCCTGACAGAAAACAAGTGCTTGGTGTCCTGTGAGCTTCCAACACAGGGAAGGCTCAAAAACCATAAAACCACCTTAAACACATGATGTAAAGGAGGTGCTCAGCTTTGGAAACACCTGTGCAGCACTCCTTAAAAAAACAGCATCAATACCTGTAATGCAGTGAGAGCTCCACCCACTGTAGTCACTGCAACTGCATTATTAGTAACGTTACAGCTTCCTGTTATTTCACCATTCAGTAAACTGGCTCCCAATCCAGATCATTGTTGTGTTATTTCAAACCTTTGCGAACTGACAAAACCCCGCTGAACTGCACCCAGCCGGTGGACAGCAGTTTATGTCAATTGACTTTGTACCAACCAATCACCTCTCAAACAGTGGGATGCCGTCCCAGTCTCCTCACAGCAAAAGGACACATAACAGGGGCCTTCTCTGGTTCAGATAAAACCCCACTTCATTTAGCTGTGCAGCATACAGCCAAAATTGATTTGAAGTACTATCGAACTTTAGAAACACTTAAAATTGGGTGGTAAAACTCTGGTCAGGCAAGCTGCCCAATGTAAAATTACATGGAACAAGAACATTACAACTGGGCCTTACTTAGGTAGATGAAGACCCCTTCAGAGCACTTCTGTAATGCCAGGAGACCAAAGTGGACAGAAAACCAGGCTCACCCAAGTCTGACAGCAGAGCTCATGTGTCAAATGATACAGGTACCTCATCCCATCAAAAAATGCAATAAAAGGCTACCAAGAACCAGTTAATTTTATGGAATCCCATGGAGCCCAAAGGACTGCAAACATGTACAAAGCTTACTTCAACCACCGACTTAAATACAAAATAAATTTAGGGTTGAATCCAGTGGTAACACTTCTTTACCAATTCCTACTTCTCAAGTTCTTTTTGCACTGCATCTCAGCCTAACACCAGGAACAAGAATCCCAACCATCTATAGTCAAAGGGAAGGTTTAGCACTGCTGCTTCACTGTGTGGTTCTACAGTTCAGACTTGTCTCTATGCCTTCCCAACTATGTAAGTGGGCAGAAAGGCGGGCAACAAGTAACTCCAGGCTCTCTCGGGGTACAGGCACCCTGCCTTTGAATTTCAAAGCATACTCTGCTGTCCAATGAAGTAACTTGTGCTCCTACTGCGTGAGCTGGAGTAGTAAATGTTAGAACATCACTTTATTCTCCCTTAAGTCAATGACAGATTTTCTACTGATTTTAGCAGGTGTGCGATCTTATTTAAGTGTCTACTCACATCACCAGATGTACAATAAACCCTACACAAATCACATTTACATTTGTACTCTTTCACAGATCATTTTCAGTCAATTTTCTGTCACCTGCTGCCAGATGGACCTCATTCATTAATAATTCAGATTGGCTAAAGACCAAAAAGGGGCTAATGGCTCTAAACCTGAGAGAAAGAAAACTAAAATTGCCTTACATATACATATATATATTTGATCTTCTTGCGGTAGTAAGTCACACACAAAACGCCTGTACCTTTCTTTTGGCACAATGAGTATTTTAGAAGTCCTTCAAGTCTCAAAGAGGTTCTTTACTGAGCATTGTCTACTGAAGTCCACAAAAAAAACATTCTTTCAAAAGGAACAAAAAATTTACAATTGTACACAAAAGGTCTTGATTTTATTGAAATTTCAAGTCTTGTATCAAACAAAAACTTTTCTTCAGGCAAAAATATTCTCTTGGTGTCCTTCAGAGAGCAGTAACTCTGAATTGGTCCTTTAGTGCCGCTCCTTTCTTTGTCATCTTCACACAAGTCCATATGGTTGGGCTGTTCCATTGGGTCTCATTTTATCGTGTGAAGGAACGTACATGACGACCTCTTCCACTGCCTCCACTAACAAACTTCCCTCTTGAGCCACCACTGCTACTACTATTAGCACTTGTCCAAGATGGTCCGATTCCTCCCCGGCCTCTGGAAGCACGATCCCGAGGGCTCGGTCGGTAGCCTTAAAGCAAAGAAAAGTATACTCAGTTGGAAAAAACAAAAAAAAAAGGCCCTAGGCGTAGTAGCTGCTGGGAAAGCGCAAGGACAAGGTCAGGATGAGACACAAACCGCATCTGGATTCTCCTCTTAATGCTCACTTTTCTTTTAGGCAAGTATTTTTGTTTTGATGGGCTCTATAGTTACCATGTAGGTACGAAGAGAACCGAACTGCAAAAGTCTCAATGCAAAATTAAGGTTCTGCGATCAAGCGTTCAATTCAGCAAGTTCTATGGATTACAGGGCAGTTGGTAGGAAGGTTGGGCTGGATTGGACACAGTCTCAGTGACAACTGTTCATATATGCTTAAAACATTTGCTGAATTTCAAGGTGTCTGCAGCATCCTTGCACGGTTTCATTTGTAAAGCAAAAATGAAATTCAAAGAATTTTCTATAGTTCGATGCCCATATGAATACCATGTACCTGCTGAACTTAATGGTCTCAGTGGTGGCAGTGGACCCCTGTTAAAATTGCTTTGACCACCTCTACTATCATTGTAGGTTCCCCTGGGTGTACTCTGTGCGCTCCAGCTTGAGCCTCGAGCACCTTCACGACGACTGTAATTTCCTGGACAGGGAGAGAAAAACCCACACGCTGCTGAGCAAACATCACTTTCTGGATTCCATTTCAAGCCTCACAATACTCAGGATAATAAATATATCATTTACATCATTCCAATAGATAAAGCTACTCTGCATCAACATACCCTCGAGTATTCTAACTCAAAGTCTGCAAGTTACTGTATTATACATAGAATTGGGGAAAATACCTATTTTACAGACATGAACTCAAGTTTAAAAGAACTCACATTATCTAGTGTAGGAAGACAGACTCCTATACTTCAAGGTTTTGTGATAAAGTAAATCCTAGTATTTAAAACTTTACTAAATGGAAGTATTTTCTGTTTCTGCTATGCAAAGATTTGCCCTAATTACAAGATGGAAAGGAATGCAACCTTGTCTGTGTATCAAAGAAACTTCACACTGTGTAGCTAGAATCTCCAGATTCACTGAAAACTGCATCTTATTCTTGCCAGCTTATACCATCCTTTTATTCAGAAGCCTCATTTAAAGCCAGCGATGCATTGTGATGCTTGATTTCAGGAACTACCATGTCACAAATGGTAGGGAATGCTTTTTATTTTTATGAATGCATCTCTGAAGCGCTCCAACCACTGCTAAAAGAAAACAGCTAACTTCTTTTGTAAAAGAGGGAGAAAAAAGGCAACTCACAGCCTTGTTTTAATTCCACAGCACCTGAGAGAACCTTTTCTAGTGCTAAACAACTTACTTCAGCAACACTGCTTCAGGAGCATCTCACACCACGGATGATTAACTGCTAGTAAATTTATTAGCATTCCTGAAGCATTTTTAGCATTCATTTACTCCAATTCTGATACAGGAAACAACATACCTTTTGAAGCAGGTGGTGTAAAGAACCTGTTCTGACTGTGAAAAGCTCCTCGTCCTCCTCGATTCCCTGAGAACCCACCACGTGAAGAAATCTTCTGTGACACTTTTGGTGGCCTTTTGGCTGGTGGTATCCCGTCTGGAGCAACAACTTCTTTGCTCTCTGCAGCAACAAAGTCATCCACATGCATGGAGGGCGGCCTGCTCGTGTTCTGTTTCCTCTGACGGAAGATATCATGCGGTCGAATCCCTTGTCCAAATCCTCCTCTGCCTCTTCCTCTTGGTGGTGGTACAACATGAGCTCTCTTTGCAGGCTCTATGTACTCAGATTTTCCACTGTCACGACAAAGCATAATTTATTTAACGTACAAATGTATTCATATTGAAGGTCAGGCATTCTCCATATTGGAGATGTAATTTGAAAGGTTTGAGAATATACAAGTCAATGCTGAGCACATTATTTACTCTTTACACCCATCTTACCTCGAAGTTATGAAGGTCTCGTGCTTGTGCTTGCCGAGTTTGAACCCTTTTGTGGTTTTTGTGCGTCCAGGAGATGATGGCTCTGACAAAAATGACCTCTCTAACTCAGCTTGCAAGTCAAAGTCACTGCAGCCCTTCTCTGACAGTTCAATCAAGTCAACTTTTACCTGCAATGATAATTTCATTACAACAATCATCACTAGCTCCGAAGAAGAAGAAAACGTGCTGCACGAGGATGGATGACGTTCAGCAAAGGTCCTGCTATCAGAACAAAAAAGCACCTTTTCATGCAGTTGTGTGGCTCAAAAAAAGCAACAGTATTGTTACTAAGTAACAAAGGAGCAGCAGAGCTGCAGCAAAATTGTCTTGCTGGTTCTGGATCTCAGCAAAGGCAAGAGCATAGCTTTTAAGTACAAACACTTAGAATCATAGAACCATAGAATAGTTAGGGTTGGAAAGGACCTTAAGATCATCAAGTTCCAACTCCCCTGCCATGGGCAGGGACACCTCGCTCTAAACCATATCACCCAAGGCCTCGTCCAACCTGGCCTTGAACACTGCCAGGGATGGAGCATTCACAACCTCCCTGGACAACCTATTCCAGTGCCTCACTACCCTAACAGGAAAGAATTTCCTCCTTATATCCAATCTAAACTTCCCCTGTTTAAGTTTTAACCCATTACCCCTTGTCCTACCATTACAGTCCCTAATGAAGAGTCCATCCCCAGCATCCCTATATGCCCCCTTCAGATACTGGAAGGCTGCTATGAGGTCTCCACGCAGCCTTCTCCAGGCTTGTCACTAAATGACCTACAGTGAGGCATTCTTCTGCTGAAGCTACAGTCCTACATGTTTATTAATGCTGCTTTTATACAGGAAACAACAGTTTGGGTTTTGCTTAAGAAATTAAAACAAGAACACCTCTGCACGTTCATTAAAAAGAGCACATCTAAAAAAGAATGAAGGCAAAACAGTCGAGGCACTGATTATTTCTCATGTAAATTAAGACACTGCCAACTGCTCAGTTTAAAAAAAAGGGAATGTTAGTGTCTGTTTCAAAATGACATTTGAAGTTTAACTTATACAAATTGAGGTTCAACTCCTCTGACAAGTTTTTGTGCAGGAAGTTTCATTTACTAGGGCCGTTTTTTCCACTTGTCACATCAGAGCAAAGATTTCTTTAACGAAGTATAGCTCGTGGGCTCTCTGTATTGCAATGACAGAGATAAGCAAAGAAAGCAAAAGAAGTCACCTTCTTCGTCTACATTTAACACAAACTGCTGTAAAGCCCCAGTAGCAATGCAGGAGCAGGTCGAGACTGACACAACTGTTCCTCTAAAGATGACTTCTGCATTAGAGTGCTGCAGAAGGTGCCAAGTTTGTTGCTGCTTCCAAGTAAACTTGAAGGCATTTGGTAACAACCTGTAACAAATGCCAGCGCTGGTATCTGGGTCAGTTTACCCGGGTGAGTTCAGGAAAACAGACCCTTTGGCCATATGAATTCCTGATGCTACTACCTCAGGCTGACCCTCATTTTTATAACCAGGCAGGTTAATGAAGCCTTTTACCATGTCCAGATCAGTGTCTATTTCTTCAGCCTGAAAGGGTGAGAACCACATGGACTTCAGCTGGTCATCCATCACATCTGACAACACATATGTAGTCCTGCAATAAAATGATGCCAAATATTCATATAAATATATATATATAAATAAAGAACTCTTTGGTTATGAATTAGTCAATTGCAAGTACATGCAGCATTACAGAACCTGGGGTGACTGTTGCTGCTTTACCCTTGACTCAACATGAAATTAAATACACCAGCACTAGTAGATAGTAGAGGTAACAGTGTTTAGATTCCGTTTGTAATATACTCATGCATAAATTACTGCATTTTCTTAAGTAAATTACAGGTATGCTCACGTATTTTAACCATTTTACCTGTTGTTAAACAAATTCTGAAGAGAGTCTGGTGCACAAAGAACAGGCTCTACATCTTGGTCACTCAGGGGACAAGAATCACCTGCAGATTCCAACATCTGCCTCACTCCAACAATGTTGTCCAGTAAGGATTCAAGGCCATCATCTTCCTTTGAACAATCCTAAAGCAACACAACACAAATCAGAATTTTGTTAATTAAGGGGGTGGGGGGAGATACTACACAAAACAGTCTATCCATCCCCATATATTGAAATAAGACACCTGAGTACAAAAACAACAGCAGAGGAGCCCCTCAATATGCTGTAAAACAAACCTTGTCATCACAGGCCCACAGCCACCTTGAGCAACCTGTTCCAGCGCTCTCTGCTGCATGCATTCACTGCCTTTCAACACACAGTTAATTGCCTGTTCTCTTAGTGTGCCTGTTCTCTTAGCACAAGGGGATACCAACCCTGACACTCCTTACCATTACCATGAGGCAAACAATGAATATCCATCCTGCACAGAAGAGGTTTTAAAACAGTGGCAACAGCTATTACCAGCTCCATAAGGTGTGCCACAGAGTTGTGCACCCTTCCCACCAAGGAGGGGTAGTCTATATTGTTTTAAAAGCATATTCAGATACAAGACCCCAACATCAACTTTCTCATTTAAATCCTTTTACCATAACATGCTTCTCCAGATCAAGTAGCAGGTTTTCTGGGGTTTCTTCTTTGTTCTGCAGTAGATGTTTTAACTCTGCAGTAGTCAGACCCAGCGTTCTCCCTGGATGAGATCCATCTGTTTCCATAAGGCTTCCATCATCTCCGCAACATCCCTGAAACATTTGGCAAGGGAGAAATAACCACATATAAATATTCATTTTATTTCTGGACTGCAAATCCCTCAGAATTCAAACACACATTAGAGCAAATTTAGCAAAACAAGAGTAATCTCTTGAGTTAAAAACATTTAATACAATGTATTTTAATAAAGTCCACTTTACTAGGCAAGTTTAGATGCTGCATCAAGATGAAAGCAATCCTTTCCTAGACAAGCTGAGGTCTGTATCACAGAATTAACAAACATTTTAGATTCCTTTCTATATATAGTACATATCAATACAGCAACTCTCTAACAGGATGCCACAAATCTTAAACCTGGGAACAATAGCATGCTATTCACTTAAGACATCAGAATGAACCACTGTGCTGTTCTGCCTACTGAAATACCCTCTTATTTACTAAACATCTGTTCTGCCCAGCTTTCATTAAAAACTAAAGATGGCACTAACACTACTGATGGAAAAGCCTTACACAGCAATCTGTAGTCTACTGCTTTCTGAAATAACTGTTCCTCAACATGCCTCACACTGCAGATGTCAGAGAAATGCAGCCGAGTTTCTCTAAGTATCCAACATGCATTCACTTACCAGCGTATCGGAGTTCAGAATCTGTCGCGTGAAATCCAGAAATGAAGAGGCCAGTTCACCTGTGTCTTTGCTAAAACTAGTTATTACTCGCTTTAATACAGTGTAGAGAGCACTGCTGTGTTTTCTTAGGGAGCTGTTTTCATAATGAAAAGAAAGAAAATACTTGATCAGGGCATACATTCTAACACACTACAGTGAAATAGACACAGGAAAATAAGCTCTATGAAACCAAATCTGTTAAATTTTACAGTTATCAAGTTGCCCATTATCAAGATTAGAAGCTGGACCTTCCTTATTTTCACTGTAGTAGACTGTTGTTCTCACCAGTGCTGTCTACAGATATCTCAGACCGCATATACACAGCTATGTGTACTACAGTGACACCTCTAAAACCTGCAAGAAATTACATTTTCATCTTCGGTGGCGAAGGGATGGGAGTACAGGCTTGCAAAGGACCTTACGTATAAAGCAGAATCATGATGTTACAATTTTACTGTATCCCAAGCTGCCTAACTGCACAAACAAACCAGAAAGGTAATCATCAACACAAAAACAGCAAGGCTGTGCACTGAAGCTGACATCTAGACATACAGACTCATAGAAACAACAGCATCTTATCTGCTTATTTTCAATTTGTGGGTTGTATAGCTTTTTGCAGCCTGTGCAGCACAGGTCTGTAGCACTGCTCAGAAGTGTGCTTTAAACAACCTTTTATTGACAAAGCCCCAGGTACTACCTTTTTCAGTCTGGGAACCTCACAAATTTCTTGGCTCTCTGCACCTCACCTTCAGTGGACAGGGAGAGGCATTAAGTGTCAAACAACACAATACTGTCCCATGCATGCAGAGGTTCTGCTCAGAAGGGAGTGGAGTCAGCATTAAGTAGTTATACAAAAAAACCCAAAACAATCATTTCTAAAGCCTTAACTGCCTGGAGGTCAGGACACTGTGGGGAAGTACAAACTGAATCCCCTCAAAATAGAAGGAATGTCAGACAGCTCTCCAATGTCCCAAATGAGTGCTCTAACTACCGAGTGACTCAAAAGGGAAGGACACGAACACCAGTTCTCATTCCAGTCCTCTCGCCTTGGAGTGACAAAATGGAGTACATAAACCTTTTTTTACTTCTCTGTTTCTTGAAACAAAGTGCTCCTGTGTAAATACTGCAGAAATGGTTCAGAGGTAAAATCTCGAGTAAAGTAACACCAAAATACTAATTAAAATACTGAAGCCCCACAAAGAAATAAAAGTTCAGGTGCCTTACCCTAACATTTCTACTAGAGGTGAAGGAAATGGTTTCACACTGCAGAAGCTTTTAAATTATTGTAAGTAGTCAGTGACATCTCAGAACACCATACCTCTTTAAGTGATAGAAGCCATAATCATGCTCAGTCAGGAACATCATTGTTCGGATACACTGCAGCAGACAATTGTAACTGCTCTCAGTATTAGTTAATGTTTCCATCAGACAGTCACAAATCAAGGGCATCAGTTCTTTGCTTGGTAAAGAGTTGGAAAGCTGCTCTGATTCAGACACAGAACCTTCTGATGAACTTGGTAAAATGAGTGCAATATCCTATAAAAATGATTATACACATAGTAAAAAATGCATTCTGTATACCAGCAGTAAGTATAAGCCAGACCAGGTTCTTTCACTAACCCTTTACCATCTTGTTCCAGTATTTCAGTTATTACTGACCAGTAAAATACTAATCTAGAGTATCCTTTTTATTTTGATTCTGTTCAGGGTTACAAGCCATTACTAATTTTTAAAAACATAAAAGCTCCAAAGGGTGAAATGTGACAGCAGAACCACAGGTGAAAGCCAAACAGTCATTGGATAATATGCCTACAGTTTCTCACCTAGGTAGTCAAACTGTCCCTTAATCTGTGTCCCTTAAGATATGAGGAGTAGGTGAGGCCACTTGGCTTGTTCAGCTTGGAGAAGATAAGGCTGACGGGTGGCCTCATCCCAGTCTACACCCTCCTCACAGGAAGGAGGCAGAGGAGAGGCAAGTGATGGTCTCCTCTCTAGTGACCAGTGATAGGACCCAGGAAATGGAATGAAGGTGCGTCAGGGGAAGTTCAGGTTAGACATTAGAAGGTTCTTCACTGAGAAGGTGGTTGGTCCCTGGGACAGGCTCCCCAGGGAAGCACAGCACCAAGCCTATCAGAGTTCAGGAAGCATCTGGACAAAGCTGTTAGTCGTACAGTGCAGTTTTAGGTAGTCCTGCGAGGCGCAGGGACTGGACTCCATGATCCTTATGGGTCATTTCCAATTTGAGATATTGTATGATTCCGTGGTTCTATGAAAATTTAGAGGTTAAGACACTACCTAGCAGGTTTCAAGATCACTGCCCCCTCCACATTTTTACATCAAATAAAACAAGACTGACTTTAACAATAAATTTGCATGGGCAAAGGTACAAATACTGTTGTTTATATGAAAAAAGGCTGATTAATTTATACTGACCAACAATGCCCAAATGTCTTCGGCGTAAGTGGGTAAGCACTAAAGCAAATAAATGCATGCAACTGGTAAGGAAAATAATGACATGCAAATCTACGCACACAACTAATGAGAAACTAGCTGGGCCAGTCTATGAATCAGTTTCCAGGTAACATTTCTCACCTTGCTCTAGTAACCTGTGCTTTATCTTTTAATGGTAGAGTTTTATGGTAGCAGTGTATCATATATATCTTTATAATTGGAATACTTTTTTACGACATTTCAGTTACACAGCTAAGGGATACGTATGCATTCAATGTAAGAGGTGAATTGTCACAACTCAAGTTTTGCCAGCGACCCACATCTGAGGGGACAGTCAATCTTTGTGCCATACAGATTTTGTTCTCTAATAAGCTACAGAACAGTGCATATAATGAAAAAGAGATATAAAACAAAAGGATTTACATTCAGCAGCATCAAGACAGCAAGTTTGCCAAAGCAGCAACCATGCTCTTTTTTCGCTTTCTGTATTTCAACAATGCTGGGGTTTTTTTATTTCTTTTGGAAAACAGCAGGCATCTAAAAAATAACCTCATTTAATATGTCCCCTACAATTATCAACACGTTTTGCAATAAATATAGGAAATACCTGATCACAGAGAGACTGCAAAAGGGAAGTTACATATTCAGCGCACTGTTGATGCGTGACATTGTCCCCAGCTGACCGCATCAAAGCCAAAAGCTCCTGGAAAACCTCTGCATACTTTTCATCACCTTTAGAAGTTCCATTAATAAGATGCAAAACTGCCAATTTACAAGCTTTATGTGAAGCCAGGGCATCCAATAAAGCAAGCAATCGAGTGGTCTGTCCAGTGTACTGTTTCTCTTTATCTTCTGTGTTGCTGAAAGGATATCAATACAGTTTGAGAAATCCGTTTTAAAGTGATCTAAAAAACTATAAAAGCAGCCATTACAGTAGTCATATAATTCTGCATTTAAAAAAACCCACCTAGTCTCCATACGTAAACTTAACCATTTCATTTACTTTTTGAAAACTGCTTAACTTTCACTAAATGACTTCTGGTTGCATCAAAACTTAACTAATTAATTAATCTAATTTATGCAATCTATAGTACGTATTTAATATACTATACTCATTGTTTCAAACCGTCTGAATTTGTAGTATTCAACTTACTCGAGCTTACAAACACCTACACATTTCCCTGTTAGTGTGCAAATTCCAGTATAGGGAACTTTACTGGCCTACTTTTCTTATTTGTATCCGCTAGGTCCTTTAGAAGCACTTCACAGATGAGATAACGCTTTGTAGGGACAGCCTGAAGAAAATCTTCCTAAAACACTTACCATAAACAAAAAATGTGAAACATCAAAACTTAAGAAGTATCAGATGGTCCCTTAGCAACATTAAGCATTCTCAGGACACAGTATATAGCACTGGACTGAGAATTCACTTAGTTCATAATAGATAAGTAATATTTCTGAAAGTATTTTCTTCCTACTAGATCTACTTCACAGAACCAAGGTGAATTTAACAGTTCATTAAAGAAATGTTTGCAATAGGAAACAAAGGTACCTTTGTAGGTCTTCTACAATCAGGTCCAATACAGTCCTCATGATAAGAAGAGCAGTAGGTGAAGCCAAGTCACACAACTGAACACAAATACGTCTCAACATATGCTGAATAGGCTGGCAAGATGAACCAGAGAAAGATCGAACTATTTCTTGTATCAGTTTGGCCTGGACATGAAGATGCATACTCCACAGCTTCCTGGTGTTGAGTGCCACTGAAATATCATGTGGTTCAATTACCTGCAGGAACAAAAGGACAGGAGGGAGGTTTCTCCTTTCGTGAGAAAACCTGAATTCTATCAGAAGATATATATAAAGACTAAGTAGTAATACTGTCCTCATCAAAAACATGGAATGCCGTTTTCATTATTATCATTGAATAACAGGGCATGATTCCAGCAAATTGGGTATTCCTTCAGGAGCTTTGGTTGTCACACACCTTTTTACGCTTACTTATTAAAGATCACAGATTCAAGATCCATGCCAAAAGAACGGAGGGCCTTCACATATTGAGAGTTTGGCATTCAAAGTTAAATTCAACTGTTTCATAGTTAATTGTTTAAGTAATAGAATGGAGTCTAGGTAATTTCACAAGGGACAAAAGAACATAGGACTGCTGATTTTAAAAGATGCTCAAGTAATACCCATTTTGTTTCTGATGAAAAAGATGTATCTTCAAAGAATCTATATGAAGACAAATGCTTTAAATAAGTTTTAATTCACCCTTTCATGTATCTGTTTTTTTCCACAACTGTGAAAATGGTCTAAGGATTATACATATTTAAAATCATTTAAAAACTAAATACATCTAAACCATACCTGGGTCGTCTGCATGGGCAGTGGAAGAGGCAACAGCTCTGAAAGCAGTATAAGTCCAGAGAAAAAGCCTTCGGGAATTCTCAAAATTGAAGAGAGAACTTCCTTCAGCATTAAAGACCAAGTATTGTTCGCCAAAGTTTCTTCAGAAATGGTAAGTTTTTCATTAACCCCTTGTGTAAAAGTCAGTAAAATATCAACAATGTCATTTTGTATTTTTTGCTCATCACTATCTAAGCGGCCTGAGAGAGGAATAGAACACATGAGCATGTGTAAAGAAACCAGTGCTGATGGAACACGCATGTCTTTGAATTCAAAAGATCCACCCCTCAGGAGTTCTGTTAGCATAGTTTTAAGAAGAGTAAGTGTACAGCGGGCCATGGAAATTGTAGTAACTCTGTGAAGCGTGGTGCCCATGTTGACATGGAGTCGCCAAGGCTGAATAAGTATGCTGTTCAGCTTCTGTAACACCCGGATGAAGGTGTCCATTCCCTCAGAAGAAAAGAGCTGAATAACCGCAAGATTCCATTTAAGGTCTTTCTGTTGACCTATACAGAAAAGAAATAACATCTCTGTATGTCTAATTTCTCCCAGGCAATCACAATTACACCTTAGACTGTTTGAGTAGAAGACTCAAAAAACTAAGATTTCTATGTGAAGCAGTACAAACATACCAACCTTCTACCATTGGTGGTGGACATGCAACATGACAAAGAACACGAAGTGCAGTAGGAATACCAACTCCATCTGGGGTCATCGAACTGTCAATATTCTTTTAGGTAAAAAAAAAAAGAAAAAAGAACCAGTATTACAAAGAAGGACTTTACAACAAGTATATCACTAGCTTGCTACTCAAATCCTGTATTTAGTTACTGTAAATATTCCACACAATTCGTTTAAGTTCAATTATTCCACCTTTTGGAAAGCAGTCACAAATATGGCAGAAGTGAAGAACAGGAGGGTCAACATTTGTGTTGTGGTTTATGGGAAGCTGAAAGACTTACATAGTTAGATCTTTGCATCATGTAGTTACCTTAAATTTTATTTCAATAAATGTAACTGAGTGCAAGAACTGGCCTAAATCATAAGCTTCAATGAAAACATCTATTTTGGATAATAGTATGTATTTTTTAGTATTATATTAGTTATTACATACCTAAGATAAAATATCAAACTACAAAAGGTCTAAGCTTATAGAGCACAACTACAAGATAGCACCTATCTGTATTTTACTAACCTGCTTGATATATTCAATGAGATTTGGGATACAATTTATTTCAAATCTAAGATTTTTCAAAGGTTCAAGCCATTTGCTGAGCTCTGGGGGGAAAAGAAAAAACAAAAACTTAAAGAGTTAATCAAGTCAGTGCATTTATGAACATAAAATTTGTTTTCAATAAAAATGTGCTTAGTTTACACAACAGATACTAAGGTCAAGTGTGAAATCTGCGAGGCATACTATGTAGCTGTAAGCCAGCTGAAAAGCATCAACAAAAGTAAGATTTCAGAACAGGCAATATACCCCACATACATGGACAAAAGTTTGCACAAGTTAACCCAAGCACTCATAATTGTCATTTATCATCTCTACTATTTTTAATTAAATATATTTTACAAAAGATACAAGGTCCCACTGTCAGTTAAAGAAAATTCATCATGAGCAAGGACCAAAGCATGTTCTCCTTAACCTACGTAATAGGTTACTACAAACAGAATACAAAATTCCTATTAAATGCCCAAATGGAGCCAGTCTCTGCACCAGTAACACATACTCACTCTGGAAGTTCTTATAAATTAACAGCCTTTCAGTCCAGAGTAACCTGAAGGTCCCAATTTTTGGGGACAAGAGATTTAAAGTTTTAAAACCTATTGTTCCTGGAAGGATTTTAAAAATGCTAAGGTTCAGCGGTCGACTGTGTATGAACTGACAGCTACTCTCAGACTGATTTGTGATTTGGTTTGACAAACTGGCCCTGCTTTTCACAAAACTGATGATCAGGTGAGGAGCAAAGAAATAAAAGCATGGCAGAGGAGGGAATTAAACTAAAACTCTGAAGAATGCAAACTTCTTTCAGTGCATTTCAGTTTTGGAAGAAATTACTGGTATGCCCAAATAAGACAGTTAAGCAGTGCAGAGCACAACTCTGGACATCAGAGTTTCAATATTCAGGTGTCAGTCCTCATCTAGGTTTGTCCAAAAGACCTGGGCCTGATACATGACACAATACAAGCCAGGGAACACACCAAGATACAGTCTGGATCAAAAGATCTAGTAACAGAGTAACATGCATTATTCCACGCCAGTTGGCCTAGGTGCCACAGAACAGTCCCAGGATTATTTATGAGTACATAAACACCCTATAAGGTTACATCACTAAAGGGAACAAGAAAAATAAGAGCTCACTGACTAGTTAGTCCATTTCTACTAAAATTTGCTCTCTTATTTTGAACACAGAAACATTTTCAAACTTCCTGTAATTACCAAACTTAATTGTAGTTAATGTTACCTGAAAAATAATCTAGCTAGAAACACTTTCCTATTTAAATCTCAGTAACAAAAAAATAACAAAACCCTACACATTATCTCAGTGACTTAACTAATCAGGTGCAGCTGGAAAAGGGATTTCATTTTATACATTACCCAAACCAGATGATCGTGCAGTACCAATTACCCACATATGAAAAGTCTCTTCTATAGATTCAAACAATCCCACTGATAATGACACATACCATACCTTGCAATTTGGTGTTATTTTCGTCTGCTTTACAAAGCTTCAGCAAAGGCACCGAGTGCTGTTCCAGCATTTGGACATCACTTGAAGATTGAACCACCAACAAAACAAGGATGCAGGCATAATTATATGCAACTGACTTCTTAGACTTTGAGTCTCTGAAACAACAGTAAGGGTTTTCTTTAGATCTTAGCTATTAACAATTGCATTTCTGCTCGATTTTCATTCTTTGACCACCAAAAATCTTTTACCTTCAGCAAGGACTACCCCATATAATTATCAACAAAAAAGCCCAAACCCTTATCCTCCCATGCTTTTTGAAAAGTGAAAGCTTTCTTTAAACTGACTTCATATTTACTTCAGCTTCCACAAAAGATGAGAGCAAGCTGAGCAGCACACAGATGTTTTTCTATAACTTTGTGGTTTACAAATCTTGTTTTAAAAGTACTGCTACCTAAAGTAGTAGCACTGCCTGTCCAGAGAAAATAATCATAGAATCACAGACTAGTTTGGGTTGGAAGGGACCTCAAAGATCATTTACTTCCAACCCCCTGCCATGGGGAGGGACACCTTCCACTAGACCAGGTCCCTCAAAGCCCCGTCCAACCTGGCCTTGAACAAATAATGACTCTTTTTAGCACTTGTAAGAACTTGGAACTTGAGATACTCCCATGCCAGAGAAGTGTACAGTGTCCAGTTTCCCCAATCAAATCTTTTACTTGTTTCACAGTCAACTTCTATGCTAAAACGAAAACTGCCTACTTACTGACTTTTTTTCACATAGCCAGAAGCCTGACCTATGTTACACCAACTTGGTGGATGACCTACACAGGTTCTGGGTATTAAGTAGTTGGTTACAAATGACAGAGCTGATTTTCTATAAGGTTTTTCTACTTACAGGTTGTTCAGTTTTTAAATAAAAACATCATGATCTAAAAGAAAAAATATTTTAGACTCACTGAATTATTTATAAAAGATACTTTTGAACCATAAAAACTTAAAGGATATAAATAAATGTATAAATTACCCTAAAGCTTCTTTGGAATAATATTCCATTAAAGTAATAAGACTTTGGAGATTTTTCTCCAGACTGAACACATGAGCCACAGCAGACCTTCCCACAGGGTTAAAGGTGATCAAGTAAAGGTTGTGAAGTGTTCCTAGTAGATCTGAATGGTCAGTCTCCTCACTGGCTGTGCACCGCTGAAAGTGGCAGAATAATTCTGAAATGCACTGTAATGTCTGTGTTGAATGCAGGAGCCACAGGGCAAAAGTATCCTCATTGGCACCATCTGACTGGAGACCTTCCTCCTGATCCGGATCAGAAAACTGACAGAGTGCTCTAATCAACAAGTTTGTTGCTTCATACTCAGAAATAAAGAAAAGAAGCCCCTTCTGTGACTGTGCCAGGAAGCGCAATATATCTCGTATAGCTTGCAGCACGCCTGGATGTGCGCCTGTCACTGGCATAGACAGTAGCAAAGTAATGCATTCCAAGAAATGGTGACTATGAAGATATCTGGGAAACAAAAAAAGAACAGGAAAATTATCAGTAAAATTACAATCATCTCATAACACTGCATAACATTATATAAAATTACATGACTCCTAGCTTCAGAACTTAGTGATCTGTGGACTACAAGAAATAATAACGGATTATGAAGTAATACAAAAATATGACCTTATAAAACATAATTCCTATAATATTTACAGGAAGTAAATACCTGAATATAAAATGTTGATCTTCAAAACCGCCCCCCCGAAAAAACCCAACCCCCACTTTACCTACAACCAAAATAATACTTCATATTTTATTAAATCTGCTCTATCTGAATAATCATCAATGGTTTGTTAAGTATGCTAAGAAATTAATCAGTACAGCATACATATAAGGTGATTTGAAGATTCTTTGCATGTAGGTACTTGTATTCAGCCATGACCTACACCACTACTATCAAAGCAACCTGTTAGCATTTAGAGAAATGCATTCTAGACAGAAACTTGATACCATGGGATGCTTTAAATGGCTGAAGTCAGGCAGGCCTCAGCTCCTCTGCCTGTGCTGTGAAACACTGAGCTACACTGACACAACTGCACAAATTATAACTGTGGCTGCAGTGCATCCTGCCATTTTGCCACAGAGAGGTATTCCAGACTTGTGTTATCTACACACACAGATGTGTTCCAAGATAACAAAGGAAAACCACTTTCCAAACATGCACTGGAACAGCACCTAGCACAACTGAATGCGACTGAAGTGCTAGCATGACACTAGTAATAGCGAAGAGGGTGACTTCTTGTTACACGAATACTAGGCTGACTGAAAGCCAGCAAAATAACAAGTACATTAACTATCAAACTCTCCCAGACTTTATGACAAAGCACAAAACAAAACATCTAGAAAACCATAAGTCCACAAGGTCACTGATAAAAAATACCTGTATCAAGTTGGAGGAAATATGCTCTAGAAAGTGAATCTGCAATTGCCATACCTGAACAGGACAGGGTAAGGATCATCCCTTTCTGGAGGGCCTGTAATACGTGCCACGGTTGGGAAAGATTTCACAGGTGGCTGAATCATTGTATGAGGAGCAGTTTCCATCAAATGGAAGATTTCTTCAAGAAGACTAACAAGTTTTTCCATCTCTCCTTCGCTTATATTAGAAGATTCCAAAAGATGATCCATGTCCATAGGAGCCTCCACATCATTCTCATACTCTTGGTTGGTTCTTTCAAGTCCTGCCAAATCCTGCTCCTGTTCTGATTCGGTGTGATTAGGAAGAGGAGGAGTGTTCTCTGCTAACTGATCAACCACCTTTTTAATGTCTAACAAAACCTCATAGAAGTGACATTTCTGCAGAATTGCAGAACCAGCAGTAACTACCCTCACAGTCTGATCTAACAGTATGAGTTCCACGAGTTTCTGATAACCACTTTTCTCATGCACATCTACACCACCTCTGAGAAACATTTCCATTCCCTCAGTCATACTAATAACACTATCCAAAGCTTTAAAAGCATTAAGTTTAAGGGAAGACGATACATGGTCTGCAAACAACAGGTCAAATAATACATTAATAACTCCTGCCTGCAAGAGTGCTGTTATTCCTTCAGTCCCACATTCTCCTAACGACGATACCAATTTTGTCCCAGCTTTGAGTTGTCGGACGTTCAACGCAATGGGCTGTTTGAGAGCTACCTGAAGGTTTAAAGCTTGCAGGGTCCAGTCTACTAGCTGGGTAATATAGTTTTGCTTTGTGTCTTTCACCTGCAGGTAGCTCAATCCTTTTACTATTAAACTTGGAATTTCTTCTAATGCAGTGACCCACTTTGCACCCCTTTCCTCCTGATATAATTCCAACAGTTCAGTTAACTTAACTGAGGCTTCCACTGCCCCTGAATTTTCTTTTTCTGGGTCTTGGTCCTTTATTTTACCAACTTCATTTTCAAATACAGTCTTGTAAGGGCAGCTGAAGTACAAAAGAGGTCCAAGCTCCTTTTCAAAAGGTTCGTATGTCACAGGAGGCACAGATGCCAGATCCTCAGGAGTATATTCAATATCAAAGCTTGGATACTTAAATGTTTCACGTTCCAGATCAGCAATTCCATCTTCATCACTTGATATCTGCTCATATCCATCATCTCCTAAAAAGAAAAATATTCAGTTACAAAATAAAATTCATTATGAATAAAACAGTTTGTAACTGCAGAGAATCTTCTCAAAAAGTAACAATTTATTTAATGCAAATATTACTGCTCAGAGAACAATTTAACATACAGAAAGCTTTCTCTCTCCAGACACAAGTGAAAGCCCCAGTTGACAGATTTTTAATGTAGTAACAGAGACATTTAAAAGAATGTATAAAGCAAAAAGTTTAACCGGGTGTCCTGGGTTCAGCAGTAGCAGTCATTTTTCTGTCTCTTAGTAGCTGGTGCAGTGCTATGGTTTTGACTTTCAGCTTGGGAACAGCGCTGATAACACCAATGTTTTACTTGTTGCTCAGTAATGTTTACTCTCACCAAGGACTTTGTGAGTTTCATGCTCTGCCAGGGAGGAGGGGAAGCCGGGAGGAAGCAGAGACAGGACACCTGACCCAAACTACCCACAGAAGTATTCCACATGACAGCATGTCATGCCCAGTATATAAGCTGGGGGCAGTTACCCCAAGGGCTAGATCACTGCTAGGGTCAGGCTGGGTATCAGTCAGTGGGTGGTGAGCAGCTGTATTCTCTCCCCTTGTTATTTCCCTTATTATTATTACTGGTGGCAGCAGTAGTGGTTTGTGTTATCCCTTAGTTACTGGACTGTTCTTATCTCAACCCATGGGAGTTACATTATTTTGGTTCTCCTCCTCATCCCTCCAGGAGGAGGGGGAGGAAGGTGGAGGGAGGGAGTGAGTGGCTGTGTGATTCTGGGTTGCCGGCTGGGCTTAAACCACAACACTGGGATGCACGCTGACAAAATAGAATGTTCATTCTTACCTATACAAGTTGTACCTGTTTTCCTCTATTTATACAAAGTAACAGGAAGATTTACTATAAAGGAATTCCACAGCAAAATACTGTTCTCGAGAGATGACAGAACCATAAATGAGGCAGGCAATGGTGCAATGACCAACTGAAGGTCTAGTTCTCTTCACACCTCGTAATCATAATGGTACTGCCATCAACATTTCATAAACCTTTCTTTTTCCTTTCATTTTTTACAACTTCACTTACCTTCACCTTCTTCCTCCTCTTCACCCTCTTCATCGTCTTCATCTTCCTCCTCCTCCTCCTCCTCTTCCTCATCAGCAATACTCTCTACTGTATGCCCATCATCATCATCGTCATCATCCTCCTCATCCTCTTCATCCTCAACATCCACATCATCTTCATCATCTCCTTCTTCTTGTTGATCTTCCTCAACTTCTCCATCATCAGAATACTGGCTTTCTTGATGAATGGATGTTCGATCAGGAGAAATGGGCTCAAAGTAATCTTCCCTATGGTCCACATCATCTTCTTTTTCCCCAACCACTAAAAATAAATACAAAATTTAAGGAATGAACACAAAATAACTTCTCTGAAATCCAATGCTCAATTATACAGGATCATAGAATTGCTATCTACTAACTTTTAAATTGATACAATTTAACACAGTGAACAGATTTTCTTTCAAATCCCTTTCTTAAAACTGAATCTGTCCAGCAGAAGCTACAGCAGATGGGAAACTTCCCACTGGGCAGGAAAACAGAATCCTGCCTCCACTAAACAATGTGTGTAGCAGATAAAACAGACTGTTCTCATTCTACCTGACACAGGCATAGGTTCATCATCATCATCATCATCAGGAGGAGGAGGGCCTGGAGGTGTCCTTGGTCCCCTAGGTTGTGGTCTTGGAGGACTGCCATTGAACTGGTCTTCTTTCTCTCCATCAACTATATTTATTGTGAAAATACATGCTTGTATTTAATGGAATCACAAGAATAGAAGCAGGAAATTTCAGTTTTTCAGTGCTACTTTTGACTAGGGAACACCTTCATTTCCCAGCTATGTAAACCGTAATCTGCATCCACAGTATGTGAGGCAATTTTCTGAAATAATTTTGATGTAAACAAGAACTGCACCAATAGGCAAGCATATTAACACCACTGATTTTTTTGGGTTTTTTTTTGACGTCATACTGTGTTCAAATTAACATGGGTAATTGCCATTTTTGGTTTTGGAACTACCAATACTTTAACTCTACCAATAATACTTGAGTTAAATTAAAAAATAAAATAAAATAAATTAAAAAAACCCAAACCCACCACACAATTTAATCAACTGGATTTTACAGTTTATAACAGTTATTACTACCCAGAGTATTCAAATTTTGCAGCTCAATAGCTGTACCCTGAACAGACAGTTCTAATTTTAAGTCTAAAACCAACACTGAACAAGAAACTTGATCCTGGATTCTATTCACGGCCATTCTAACACCAATGCAAAGCAAACACTCTTCTGTAAGTTACTTTCCATACACAAAAGGGAAGTTAATAATGAATGTGAAGTTTTCTTGTTAGAATTTTTTTAATACCATTCTAATATTTTTTTTGTGGTATCAAACATCCAAATTTTAAGGAGTTCACACAAATTAAACTGTATTTAGACCATATTAAGTAATTAACAATAGATCAAGTAACCCACTCTCAAAAAAGCACTAGACAAGAACCTACTTAAAAACTTTCAATATAAATATAAATATGAAAAATGTAGAAAACTTAAGGACAAAGACAAAGCTAGAAAAACAAAGCCACTGAAATATAAAATATGAAAGAACTGATTTATGGGTTTGTTTTTTTGGGTTTGGTTATTTTTTTCAGATGGGGTACCACAATTAAAAATAAAACCTCTGTCTTCTTAGAACACTTACCATGTTTTGGGTTTCTTTTCAAACCAGGCTGTTGCTGGGGAGGTGGTGGCGGAGGTGGGGGTGGAGGAGGTGACTCTCTCTCATGACTTACTACCCTGTCGACTGAGCCATATATTGCCAAAGTCAGACAGTTGTACCATCCTCTTAGAACCAATCCATCCGTGTTGACCTGTTGTTTTTTTTAATGAAAAAGCACTTAAAAACTACACAAGACAACTTCAGAAGCTATTTTACTCTATCAGTATCTGCATAAAAGCAAGAAAGGAGAACAGAACAATAAAATGCCTCTTTACATCACATTTGGAAGACTGAGAAAACTTTAAATATATTAATCTTTACAACAAATAAATACTGCTTCTCAAAAGTCATTCAATTCCTTGCAATATACTGCCTAATCTACTATGGCCTATTAATGACAAAAAATTCATAAATAAACAAATGACCATGGGCCATAGCCTGATCTGAATAAAATAAACCCAAACAAAACTGAAAATGATGTGCTTAGCTGTGGCCTGCAGCCACAACATTCTTAAATTTATCTTTGCTCCTAAGTAATGGATAGTTCTGTTGCTAATCTTCATAGGAATTGTCAAGCAACCAAATGTTCTACAACTCATACCATTATAGATGCAGACTCAAAAGTGATGAGTATCTGAACTACAGGCAAATTTCAGAATAAGATCTTAAACAGTAAATGCTTTATACAGTGCTAATGCACCACAGGCAACCATATTTATACCTAAATGATAGCCATTTAGGAAAGGAGATTTAAATCACATTCCATTACCTTTGCATTGGGTCTGAATATAATTGAAGTGTTCTCATCATATTCAAGGCTGTTAAATAAAATGTAGGAAGTTATTTTCCATTAACATAAAGCATGTTTAAAGACATGAAGCGCAGCAGTATTAAACACATAAGCCAACAGCAAAACACTGAACAAATACATGTTCTTAAAGACAAGAGTGCAAAATCACTTATTTCTACAAAATACTTTTCATTAATTTATATGGGCTCTGTAAGTTTACAAACATTAGAACTTTTCTTCTTTTAAGCATGAACCTCTGTCCTCCCACACGGACTGAAGTGCAAAAGCACAAACTAGCAAAAACCAGACCAAACATGAAACTCATAGGAGATACAGATTTTCTACTGTGCACTTTCTGCACTAAAAAATTCTAAGGAAGAAAAGATAGATAATGAAGCCACCCTAAAGGCACTTACCTCCCTAGCCTATCAAAAACAGGGGCACTTGGCTTGCTGACATTGTTAAAAAACAAGTCCAGTTGAAATGTATGTGGAGATGTCTCTCTGGAAACAGAACAAAGGTAAAAATCAACTCAGTTGAGCTCCTTATCAGGATTAAGTAGGACTAAGGGGGGGGCTTTAAATAATACTGTTTAAGTATTTCCCCAAAATAGTTACAAGTTCAGCAGAGACATAAATGCATTTTATACTGGAGGTTCTATTGAGATACACAAGTTCAAGAAAAAATAACAGCAAGGTGTCCCTGAATCAGATACCTGCTACCTTTCACTTACCCATAAGCCCTATTGTCAGGCAAACTTGTATGAGCTCTCACTCCTGGAGGAATGACACGTACTTCATTTATGTAAACCACACACGGAAAACGAACTACATCTATATTGGTACTTTGCTACAAAACAAAGAAAAAAGAAAGTCTAAGAAATGTAAAATTCAAACAACATAATGCAGTTAAAGAATTTTATTGACCAAATTAAAGTTGTAATCCTAATAAATCACAAAATTCAATTCTGTAAAATGCTGAAAACTGTTAAACACTGTTACACAGAAAATATTTTTATATAACCTTCTGGCACTTTTAACACTTTTTACAGAAAGTGTTACTGTTTATTTACATAACTGGCTCCCTTTATTTGTAAGAATCTTAAACAGTAATACAATTTTTTCTAACAGTATTCTGGTAAAGGTAAAAACTGGAACTTAAATTATTAAAGGTCCTTTTACTAAAACATTTCAATTTTATAATTAAAGAGAAAAGAAAATGTGTGGTTTAATTTCAAGCATTAGCAAACGTTATATTACAAATGTAATATTAGAAATGATACTATAAATCTGTTCTACTAGACCTGTACAAAAATTCTGTAGGCTTACTTTTCCAATTTTGCAGCATCATCTGAAAACCTTTTGCAAGTAACATTTCTGTTTATCACAAAGGTATAGCAATTATAATGAATTCTAATGCTTCAGCATTCCTAAAAGATGTCTGTGCAAACTAGGAAGCAATCATAAAGACACAGTGACTTCCCACACACAGCCACCAAACAATGCTGAAGGTCTTCTCTCACTCAATTCACTACATTAGGTATATTTTTTATATTTATACATCAATTTTATCACGTATACGCTAACAAAATAGTACATATGTATCAACCATATGTCCACCTGTAAGCATACAGACATTCTTAAACTGAAGCTGTCCTGGTTTCGGCTGAGATACAGTTAATTTTCTTCCTAGCAGCTGGTGCAATGCTGTGGTTTGGCTTTACTCACACTGATGTTTTAGCTGTTGCTAAGTAGCACTTAACATGATCAAGGACTTTTCAGTCTCTCATGCTCTGCCAGTGAGAAGGGGCACAAGAAGCCTGGAGGAAGCAGAGACAAGACACCTGACCCAAACTAGCCAAAGGGGTACCACACACCACAGCACATCATGCCCAGTGTATAAACTGGGAGAGAAGTTGGCTGGGAGAGCAACTGCTGCTTAGGGACAGGCTGGTACCATCCTATGATCCTATGAAGAACCACAAACTCTAAAGCAGGACCCATGGACCATTTAGCTGAATAATTAGTATGACATAAGGCTTTTCTGCAACATGTAATATGCATTTTGGTTTTTTTTTAATAAAAATTCAATATGATTTAGGTTTTTAAGATTTAGGCAAAATTAAAGTGCCAGAAAACATTATACACAATTAAAAATGTTCAATTAGAGACCATGCTGCCCTTGAGGGGAATAGCAGTGGCTACTGCTTCCTACCCAGGGGAACTGAAGTGGTGAGCATTTCCCGCCCAATGCTGTCTTAAATAGTAGAATTAAAAATACACATGGGTCTCCCTAGTCATGGTAGCCAGAAATGACTCCAGAATAACTTCCCATCTGTTTTTAATTGCAGTATCAGCCCAAAATACTTAATTTTCCTCCCCTGATACATGTCCACAAACATAGTTCAGAAATTCTGTAATTCTATAACATCTTTCTTGTGTTACACACTTTTTGTTTTCCCTTATGGTCCCCATCTTCCTCCCTGAAGAGTACAACGGGCCCTGGACAAATCTGCTGTAACACAAGCAGATTCAAGGATGTCAGGATCCCAACAGCCTCAAAGTGGAATATCTGCACGATTTCCCACAGCTGAAGCAAGCCTGAAGTACTCATTTTGCTCACGATGCACGTGGGCTGCATAAACCTAAGGGAGTATATCTCCCATAAACACAAATACTTCTGCTCACTACCTACAGAAAAACGCCAGGTATCTGACAGACCCTCCCCATGTATTCCTCCCTTTACGGACTTCCCAAATCAATTTAATTCTCTTTATTTCCCACTCGCCTCTCCCCCCCGTTACCTCTAACTCTCCTCTCCCTTCCCACCGCCGCGCCTCCCCCCAGTCCTTGCCAACGGCACCCCCGGCTGCCGGGACAGCGCGGGGATGGGCGCACCACGGGGGCTTCGGCTGCACAGGGGGAGAAGGCGGGGATCCCCTTCAGCGGGCTCCCTCCCGCCAGGCCACCCGCTGAGGCGAGCGCCACCAACGGGGCCTACCCCAGCGGCGCTCTGTGCCCTGCAGCCGCCGCGGCGCCGCCATGAGCAGGAGGGCGCAGCAGCAGCCGGGAATAAGAAAGAGAAAAACAGCGACCGCCACATTACCTCCGCGCTCTGGTGCTTGAACGTGTCTAAAAACAGCAGCTCAGTTGCGGTGTCCACCGCCATCTTGGCTCGGCCGAAGGTGAAGGGCTTCCGGGCGCCGGCCAGAGCGCTTCCGGGCCGGCGACACAGAGGCGGGAGGGGCTGAGCTGAAGTGGGCGGTGCGGCTCCGCGCCTGAGGAGCCACCTCGCTCAGCGTCAAGAGGAGCCAGCGCCGGGGTCGCCTTCGGCAAAGGGTTGCACGCGGGCGGGGCTGCGGACCTACTGCCTCCCCCGGGCCGGGAGAGGTGCGGGGCCACTCGCGGCGCTCCCACTGCACCGGACCAGAGCAAAGGTTCGGGGGTGGAGAGCGGCGGGGCCGCGCCGGCTTTCCCCTGAGCTGTCCCCGCCCGCTGGAAGCAGAGGCTGAAGAGCTGTGGGCCCGCGGCGGACCGGGGCCAGTGCCGCTGCACTCGTGCTGCAGGATGAGCGTGTGAGCAGCGGGTGGTGCCCTCGGGCGGTGCCCCGGCGTTCTGGAGACCCCCCTGCAGCGTGCTGCGAGCCTTGCTACGGCTGGGGTTCGCGGGATTTAGCTCCGGATGAACACTGGCTAAATGCAGTCCTGCTTGAGGAATTTCCTTCGCAGCTTTTCTCGTTTTAAAACTACCCCTTTTCAGATGGGAGAAACTGTCGTCTCAAGTACATGTAAAACAATTCCTTGGAACCTCTCTGCAGCTCATGTTCTTGCTTAGCATCCAGTGCTCTTCTGCAAGAACGACTAAGTTTTATATGCATTAGAGACAGCATGAAACCAAAGTCTGCCCGTGGCCAGCACAATGATGTGGAACTCATGCAATCGGTGTGCGGTTACACGAGCTTTGTGTAGGAGCTCTATAACAGCAAAACTGCACCATGTGTCTCGAGGAGGTCTAAAAAAGGATGTGTAACATCTCTGAACTACCGACTGGAGCCTCAGCCACGTACCTGCGCTTTCCTTAGTGATAATTAGACCGTATTATCTGTGTCTTCTTTCTGGATCAGCTGCTTAATAAAATGTTATGTGTGCGCATCAGGAATTGGCAAGTCCCTCTTCAGTTTCAGTAGCTAAGCTTGCTCTTCTGTCAGTGCTTCAGGGTTCCCCTTGCACCAGGAGTAGCAGCCTTCTAGTTCTAGGTTGGACTCCACGTGAAGACTTCTCATCAGTTTAAATAAAGCTGTGGTTCCATACATCCATTTTCAGTGGTGAAAGTAGTTCAGGACATTCCTGGCCCCACACCACATGCTGGGGAGCTGGACCACAACATGCGATCCACAACCAGTTTTACTGGCACACATGAAGAGGTGTTTTGTAGCAGGGCAGGGAGACTCACTGACTGAAATTGCTTCCAGATCCACTGAAAACATGGCACTGCCTCCTCCTGCTACTTCAGCAGATGTAGTTAAAATATTGCAAATCCCTTCATAGAAACACTTCAGAAGATGAAAATCCAGGAGCCCCATTGGCTATACAAGATTTGCCTGTTTTCATTCTTGCCCCAAGCTGGGAAACTCTCTCATCCTCATGGATAAACAGACCTAAACTCCTGGAGATAAATAGATTTTTTTATTTTTTTTAATGTAGAAAACAAAACAAACACAAATCTGTATTTTGCTAAAGTAACACAATGCCTTACAGCTGCAAATGACACTGCTTACTTCAGTTATATTTATGGGCTCTTTGGAGACTTCTGGCCAAGAGCAGCTTTGCAGATCTAATACATGGGCAACATCGCACATACTACTGTGAAGGAGAAGCACAGTCCCAGTCAGATGCTTCTCTCCTGAGACAACCTGCAACAGTATTGCATCCAGGTCAGCTAGTGCCAGTCATTTCAGTAACTGGCAGGGGATTTCCAGCCCTGCATTTTTATCTGCAGTGACTCCCTTGCTGCTGGTAGCAGCTACAGCTCTGGATATGAGAAGAATCAACTTTGCAAGATTGAACTTGGGTGGCTCTCAACACAACATCATTGATTTCAGCACATGGCTGGCCCCAGAAGTCAGTGGTATTTCTTTGCTGCAAGGTAGAGCAGAAGTGTTTGAATGTCACACCCAGCTGATTGATTTCAAGGAACGATATTGGTATTGGCAGAGAGTTATTTATTGACTGATGGAAGTGGAGAGGACAGAATTTGGTTAGCAAAAGCAACTGAAGAGATTAAAAATAGTTGGTGGTAACCGTTAATAAATTCCATCAAAATGATACAGCTCTGCTGATTCTCCTGTTCCAGTTGTAAAAAGTTGATCATAGAATAGTTTGGGTTGAAAGGGACCTTCAAAGATCATCTAGCCCAACACCCCTGCAATGATCAGGGACATCTTCAACTAGATCAGGTTGCCCAGAACCACATGCTGCCTGGTCTTAAATGTCTCCAGGTATGGCACATCCACCATCTATCTGGGCAACCTGTGCCAGTATTTTATCACCTTCATTGTAAAGAACTTCTTCCTCACATCCAGCCTGAATCTCCCTCTTCTAGTTTAAAACCATCACCCCTCATCCTATGCCCTTTAGCAGGGCAACAAGCCCTGCTAAAAAGTCTCTCCCTGTCTTTCTAATATGCCCCTTCAGTAAGAACTGAAAGGCTGCAATAACGTGTCCCTGGAGTCTTCTCTTCTGCAGGCTGAACAATCCCAAGTATCCTAGTCTTTCTTCTTAGGGGAAGTGCTCCAACCCCCTGATCATTTTTGTGCCCCTTCTCTGAACCCTCTCCATCAGGTCCATATTCTGAAAGAAAACATGAGCACAGATGGCAACAGTGGGATACAGGTGGGAGACCTGGCACAGGCCAAAGGTCTGTGCACGAAAGGATAATGGAGTTGCAGGTGGTACTGGGGTGAACTGGAGATACTCCTATGGAGGAATAAAGCGTGCTGGGAGACATGGAGCTCACAGGAAAAAAAATGGAGACAGTGAGATGTGCAAAGTCACAGTTTTCTTCAATATAAACTGGGAAGAAGCTTCTGGAATGTGGGGGAAATAAATAAGAGGACCCACAGATCTCTTGCCATGGTCAGGGGCTGGTGTTAAGACCAACTCGGTGGCACAAAGGAACGTGTGAGTAGTTTCAGAAATGGCCCGAAACAAAGTGGCACAGAAGGACACATGGTGGGAAACCAGAACAAAAAGAGCAGAAAAACAGCTAAACAGAGATTAGCAAAGGGGATGGAAGTTAGACAGATAGCAGGTGGGAAACAGGAGTATCAGAGAGAAATACAGCAACAAGGTGCTGGGAGGAGCCTTGAGAGGTCATCATGCCCTAAAGTGCCTTAGTATATTCCTGTAGGCAACAACACTGATGTCATCTGGAAGGTGACACATCATGCAAAGACTGTGCTTAACCAGGCCTGGGATAACGAATGAAGAGCCAGGAAGAAGCACCCAGCATGGGAGTACAAGAATGCCAGAGGCCTGGGCACCACAACCCAGGAACCTGACCAACTGGTGGATGTTGTCAGACCAGATACTGTAGGCATGAAAGAAAGAGGGTGGAATGGTAACTGTGACTGGAAAACAGGCATTTTAGGAAATGTGTTACCCAAGAAAGAGAAAAATGAAAGGTAACAGCACCACAGTAGCAATTAGTGGCAAACAGCTTCCACAATAAATAACTAAATAAGTAAAAACATAAAACCATTAATTTAATCAAGAACCCCAAAGGCTCAACGGGAATTAAAAATACTTTTAGGGTACAACTTTTAGGGTACAACTTAACCTGTGAAAGGAATTATGATGTGTCATGGCAGCCTGCTGGGGAGTCTGATGCTCACAGACAGAAAGAGTCAGCACAGGATGAGACAATAAGGCATAAGAGGAGGAAAGAGAAATGTATATGCCAGAGCACAACAAATCACAACAAAAGCAACAGGGACCCATCCAAAAATGGATGATATTTCACTGGAAGATGACCAGCCAACCAAACAGGCACTGCTGCCTGGCAGGCTCCAGGGTGGAGTCATTGCAGAACTGTACCCCTGGACTTCTTTACTAAAGTAGAAAATCTTTTTTTAAGATGCTGCACTAAACTAAGACCTTAAAGGGAAACTGTGCAAAGAATTCCTTTATACCCTTGAATCCCAGGCTGGGCATAGGTCACAAAGCAAAAACTCCCTGTGCAAGAACCAGCCCCACTCCTCAGGTGTCGCATACAGATTGGCTGCAAATCCACTTAGGACACATGTCCCACTCCTCTGCTTCACCCGTGTTTTACTCAACACATCAGAAAGTCAAAAGACAAACACGCAAAGAAAGCCAGGCATTCTAACCCTCCAACAAATGGGGCACCTTTGGTGCTGTCTTTACCCCTCAAATTGCAGTATCTGCTATCAGTGAATGCCATTTTTGAAATGTTATACCAGAAAGGGGTGAAAATTACTCCAGCTACCCTGTGTCACGTGAAGACTGTCTGTTGAAGCATGTAAACAAAGGAGTTCGGTGGCAGTCACCGCAGAAAGCCCCACACTGCACTAGGGAAGGACCAGGGTGCTAGGAATAAGGAGATCCACACACACCTCCCCCCTTCCTGCTGAACCAACAACGCATAGGCACTAAGGAAAGCTGTGAGCCTGCACCAGCACAAAGAATGGCGATGAAGGATGGCACAGTGTGCACCAGCATCTGAAGGAAAATGTAGAGAAGCAGCATCAGTATTAAGTCGGAAGGACAAAACCGGGGTCCTAAAAAACTAAGTGGCCTACAGGATTTCCTTAGGGAAAGTTAGTGTGACTTGTTTACCCTGCATTCCCTGACCTTTCCGGTTGTCATTTATAATAAATAAATAAATGAATAAAAATCAGGTTTTGAGCAATACGCATTTAAAACAGAAATTTCACAGTGAAAAAAATGATCACCAGGAGAAGGCTGCTGTCACAAGGACCAGAATCACCACGGTTCATCGAGGGAAGGCTGTGACACACGATTACATCCGCCGTGCTGCTCCCTTAAGCGCGACAGAGGAAAATGCCCCAACGCCCGCAGCCAGCTCCCCAGCACCAGTTCCTCCCGGCGGCCCTCGACGGCCGCGCTCGCTCGGTGCCGACGGCGGAAACCCGCCGGGGTGGCTGCGGGCGGCATACCCGCCTCCCGTCCCTTTCCGTCCAGGCTGACGGAGCTGCGGGCGAACCTGCTCTGCCCTCCGGCGACATGTCCCGACAAGAGCGGGCGGCCACGCCCGTGCCCGCTCCCCTCCACCGCCCCGTCGGTGAGGAGTGGCACCTTCCCGGGCAGCTCGCCCCGACGGCGGGAGGCGCAGCCCGGCAGGCTCCGGCCGCTGTCCGTAGTTCCGCGGCGGCTGCGGACGGCACGTCCATAGTCCCGGCACCGCGCGGGGCGCCCCGCCCGCAATCACGGCGCCCCACTCCGCCGACCGCCCCGCCGCGCTTGCCACGTCCCTTCTCGGCGGGGCCAATGGGCGGGCGGCGCCAGGTGAGTGCTACCTGCACCACGTGGGGCGGGGGCTGGGCAGGTAGGGCCGCGGCCCCGCGCTGAAAAGCCCGCAGCCATTGCGCGCTTCCCATCGGTGCAGCCGGCGTGGGAGCGGCCGCCGCCCGGCCCGGGACAGCGAGGGGGGAGAGCGGCAGTGTGCGCCTCCCTCGCCGGCACCTGGGCAGCGAGGCCTGCGTCTCGTTTGGAAGGGCCTTGAGCAAGGAAAGTTTCTGGCCTCTTCCCCCTCTTTTTTCTCCCCCCTTTTCGTTTTCTCTCCCCACCTTTCCCCCTTTTTTTATTCTTCCCACTGGGCCGGTGGCACCATGACGGCATCTCCCGACTACTTGGTCATCCTCTTTGTGACCACGTCTGGAAACAACGGGTCAAGGCTGGGCTCGGATGAGCGAGAGCTGCTCCAGCTCCTGTGGAAAGTGGTCGACCTGAGGAGTAAGGAGGTATTTTCCCGCGAGTGAGGGCACCCCGACCTGCTGCTTCCCTTGGCCCTGCCGTGCTGGGTACAGTGGGACAGCCCCAGCATTGGGTTGGCAGTGGGTCCCCCAGGCTGGAGCAGGCCCTGGTGGAGGGCAGGGGCCGGTGCTGCAGGTGGGGACTTCCAGGCTGGGGAGCTGACTGACCCACCCTCTGCTTTTTCTGGAGCTGGGGCACCTGCATGATGTGCTGGTCCGGCCTGACCATCTGGAGCTGACAGCTGAGTGCCAGGAGATCACCCAGGTGGATGTGGAGAGCCTGACACTGGCACCACCGCTGGAGCAGGCTTTGAGACAGGTGACACCCCATAAGTGGCTGCTAGTTGCTGGTCTTCCTTGGGGGCTTCCTGGTGCAGTAGGGGCAGTGTTACCTATTTATTCCTTCTGCCATCACAGTTATTGGGGCAGCGCTGTCTGGTACAGGGGCACCACAGCCATACATGTGACAGGGAACCTGGTCTATGGTGGTTTTTGTGGGGATTTCCCCCTTGTGTTTTGCTCATTCCCTTTGGGAGGGACTGAACACCAAGAGAGGAAGGTCAGGGTCAGGTATCTCCCTACCCTGGTCTCCTGCCATTCTGGACCCTGAGTCTCAGCTGAGGGTGAGCCCCAGTTGGTGTTGAAAGAGGCCAAGTTTAGGTGCACCTGAAAAGGCTGGGTGATGGCAGGCCCTGCTTAGGCTTGTGGTGGCTCATCAGTCCAGGAAAGGAAACAATACCAAAGCCTCTATATAAATAGTGAAGCGTGCATGATTCTCATTGAGGAAAGGACAGAAACCCCATCTCCTTTTCAACATGCTTGAGTGCCCTGTCTGAAAGGCTTCTCTGCCATGGTGTTCCCGTAGTTCTCTGCAGCTGGCTTTATGTCTCCTTGCAGTGCTTTTGCAAAGGCTTCTGGAAAAGGATTGAGGGGCTTCCTGTAATGTAGACGTGCCTCATTAGAAGTGGGGAACAGGGTCAATTTCCTTGTGAAAATAATGTAATAAAAGTTATTATGTGTTTAGATAGTAAGAAACAAATCTATAGAAGTGAAAGGCTAGGCTTGTACGAAAAGGAGTTCTAGCTCCATGTTCCTGCTGCCCTGGAATAATATGTCAACAGCAGATGACACTGCCTGGCACAGCCACTCTTGTCTTTTACATGTGTCTTTTTTTGTTCCTGCTTTCAGTTTAATCAATCTGTGAGCAATGAATTGAACATTGGTGTAGGTACTTCGTTCTGTTTCTGTACTGATGGGCAGCTGCACATTAGGCAAGTTCTGCATCCTGAAGCTTCCAAGAAGGTATGTAGTTGTAGTTTCAGTTTGACTTTTAGTGTGCTTTATATGATTTCTTGCAAAATTGATCAATTTCCCTTCAGTATGAGAGTGCCTTCACACAATTGTTGTACAAACGTTGCTTGTGTGTGCTTACCGAACTAAAGAGCTTGTCCATGGGAAAGGCACAGACAATGCCTTCTGCTTATGTGTTTGAGAAAGGAGCAATGCATTGACAGGGTACTTGTAGCTACAATGGGTTAATAAATGGGATGTGGAAGCATTGCCAAATAGTTAACCACTTTAATCATAAATTGTCTTTTGAAATGTTATATTCACCTTTAGCTTCAGCAACTTTCAATCTTTATGTAGTCAGTTGAAACTTGAGGGTGGTGCTCATGTTTGTAAGGAGCTGAACAGTAGTTTGAGGCAGGCTATGAGTGATGACTAGTCCCATATTCTAGAGTTTTCTATGCCTTCAGACTTGCCAAATTGCTAACAGTATTATGAGGTCCTGCCTACTTTTCATTAGTGATAGGGTTGCTGCAATATGCTGATTCTCTAGTCCTGAAATAACTGCTTCAATCATTTTGTGGTTTCCTATAGACATGCATTGCTTTGTTACTGAGCTGTTCTGCTGCTCTCATTTCAGCTGACCTCTGTGCCCATCAATTTGTTGCTTCACCTTTGAAGGGGCACTGCTGCAAGTCTGTGTTGTTACAGAACTGATATTGGATGAGCTTGGCTTTAATACTTATTGGTGCTCTAAGTATTTATATCTTTGGTTAAGAAGAGAAAGAGTGAGCATGATTCATAATGAATAGAGGGTCCATATATATATATGTAACTTGCCTTTGGGTGTAATGTGATAAAATGTGGAAACAGGCTTTTAACAGACTTTCTTCTTGCTTGCAATGGTTATATGGTTTATACAGTTAACCTTTTATGTGCATAACTTAACTGCAGGCAAAGAAGGGACAACTATGATTATTTAAATTTGTCTGGTGTTAGGGGTAAGCATCCTTTTTTTGTATCATCACAGGGTCACTGATGGGAATCAAATCCTCATCAAAATGTTCTGTTGCTGTTTTGTTAAGATTTATTCATTTAAAAGCTGCTCTGTGCTGCCTATATGTTAAGTAAACCAGGTGCTTATGAGACCTGTGATAGTTCTTTGTGAATCCTGAAGATGGGCTAGCAGGGTCACTGAAATCCAGATAGGCAAAAATAAATCACCAGACTTGTTGGATTGCATTTCTCTTTTAAGATTGCCAGTCTGAAGCAATCTAGCAGTTCATGGTATTCAGAGAATGAATTGGCATCAACTGCTCCAACTGAATGTCAGTGAAGTACAGAACTTGGTCACTTGTTGAGGAAGAAGAATAGCCATGCTAAAACCAGGGCAGGAAATCTTGGCAAGCACACCTCCATTTTCATAAGTTTGTCTTTAAAGAGTATCGTTTGCCTAATGCATCTGTCCATATGCTAACATGTTCTTAAAGCAGAACTTGTTTCAGACTTATTTCTTCAGGCTCCCTAAATGTGCTTTCACGTATCTTGTCATTCTGTTAGAATGCCAAGATGCTAAGTAGTTGTTAAATCACAGAAAGCCCCTGCTTTTGGTCTAGAAAGATATTGTAGGCAACAAACAGCCAAGTGGAATACAAAATGTTGTGCCTGTAGAGAAGCTCTGGCTTCATATGCTGCAATTAAAGCAGTTACCATGCCTAGACTGACAACCTCTGTGCCATATCAAGTCCTCATCTGCACCCAGTTGGCTTTTATCCTAGTTTTAGTTGGGGGTTTTGTGTGTTGTTTTTTTGGTTTTATTTTTAGTTTTGGTTTAAGGAGTAAGTATTTGAAGTGTGACTATTCGTTGAAAAGTCAGTCTTGTCTATAAACCAAAACATCTTCTGCTAGTCTTGCAAAATTTACTTGGCTCTATAAACTGAACTGCATGCCCTCTGGCTTTTTACAGTTAAAATTGGAATCAAGAATTGATGATAAATTTTGCAATAGCAGGCATTTGCTCTCCTACATATATATTGGATTTGAAGCAGTAGTAATAATAGCAAGCGTTTCTCTGGCAGTGAAAAAGCACATTTCTCTTTTTAAACCACATAGAGAAAGCTGCTTAAGCAAAAAAAAAAAAAAAAAGTTCATAAACAGGAGGCTACAAAGAGCTATAGGAGTTTCTCTGTAGCAAAGACTGTTTGTGTTTCATACCCATATAAGCAACTTGTTATAAAGTTTTAGTACCTAAAGACAAAGTAGATTAAGTTTACCCGGGTTGACAGCAGTAACTTTGTCCTTTTACAGAATATCTTGCTGCCTGAATGCTTCTACTCCTTTTTTGACTTGCGTAAGGAATTCAAGAAGTGTTGCCCTGGCTCACCTGATGTTAGCAAATTGGATGTTGCAGCCATGATAGAATGTATCCTTTTCACAGTGATGGTGTCTACTGCTGTTACAGCTTCGCCTGAATTTGAGGACAGAGATGAGTGAGTAATGCTTGCAACACATGTTCAAGAGTGGTGTAACTTTAATGAGTGACTCTGAGCTGTACTGAGCTTTCTCACAAAGATAAAAACATGAGGATGCATGCTCCCATGGGGGAAATCCTGTATTTCTTCTTGATTTCTGTCTGTTTTCTTTACTACGTTCATAGTTTTGTTGCTAAACTTCACAGTTTAGTGCATCTGGTACATTGTTCATATGGCCGATATGAATCCTAATATTTAAGTTGTGAGGTTGATTGTCACATCAGTTAGGGTTTGTTTTTTGGTTGTTTTTTTTTTTTTGTGTTTTTTTTTTTCATTTTAGTAAGAATTACTGTCTTAATTTTTAGGAAGGGGACCAGTTATTCTTGTTGTGAACCTCTTTGATTCAGGAGTGAACCTAAAGCAGGGAATGTGATTGGCACATTATCTATGGCACATTATGTAGATATGGATTTTCTTGGTGCTTAACCATAAGGTTGAGTACTGGAGGCTGTCTGCTCTGCTTTGCCATCTGCAAATTAAGATTAATCTCCCTGAGTGAAGGGGTAGAAATCACTTCTTCCCCTACTTTGAAGCAAAGCAGTACAGTTAGTGTAAGAGTGTGAATTTTTACGTAAAAAAAAAGCAAAATAAATGCTTGTGTTGCATAATCTAGAAGCTGGATGATGGAGGCTTTTTAAAGCTTTGGTCAAAAACTTACTACATTGTTCAGGGAGGCTTTGATATGGAGCTGGAGAAGTCTATTAAAGACAATGAGCTACTTCAGCTGTTTTGGAGAGATGCCTTTGTTCTCTGTGTGTGTTTATGTCTTGGTACTGTGGAACTAGTAATACAACTGTAGCCACCTGGAGCATTGCTAGTCAGCTAAGGCACAGTGTCAGGCTGTGTATTCCCTGCTTGCTGAGAGGAGGCAGACAACCTTATGTTACCTGACCGTCAAGAAGCCCCTGAAAAGTCAGTACCATCTAAGGGTGGGTTTGGCAGCTGCCAACAGTATTTCCTCCATGTTGCTTGAGGCTTGGTCAGTTTATGCGAGCATGCTCAGCTTGAGTGTGAATTCTGTGTCTGATATGCTTCTTAAGGTATATAAACCTAAATTGCTCTATTCTAGTTTTATCTTAGTCTTTGTGGTTTGATTTGTTGTGTAACTGCTGATTTGTAACTGATGCTCTGATCTGTAAACTTGTCACATTTCAGCAACATAGCTGAAATTAACTGTGCCTATATTGCTTGAGAGTGTTGGGGGTGGAGGATGCAGAGACCAAAAAGCTAAAATAACTTTATTTCCTTTTATTGACAAATATGGTAATTTTATTTCTCCTCACCTTGCTGAAATCTGCCAACTTCATCTCCTTGCTGTCAGAAGTGGTAGAAGCTAATTGCACTTGGAGAGTCTGGACATGCATGTAGGGCTTGGGATTAAAAAAATAATTGCTGAAGCAGGTGCTAAGTGCGAAGACTAGTTCAAACAGTTTTGTGCAGAGGTTTGGTTTTTTTCATAAGCTGCTTTCCTCCTGAGACAGTTACGTAGCAGAGAGAATGTCTAAATGAAAAGTAACTTGGATTTGAAGTGGATATGCTGGGGTGAGGACACAAAAACAAATGGAGTATGTTGGAATGAAGTTGCAGATTCATGTGTAGAACATGACAAAGCTCTTCTGTTCTTGTAGAAGGTGCATCTTTTCCACCCCATAGCTAAAGGGACTGCATGAGGGAAGTTTTCCATGATTTGTGCCACACAAACTATACTGGGCCAGGTTTGTTGGTTTTCTTAGTGGGCATAGAAGGTTTTTGTCTATGTGTCATGTACTGACTAGATATGCAGAAGACTTGCATTTAGAAACTGGTAGAAGTGGAATGGTCCTGGGCACATCCATTCATGTACTTACAACAGCTCCATTTACCTGAAAGTAAGATGGTTGTAATCAGTGAACAGAAGCTTGCATGATGTGAAACCTGGGGGAAAGCTGGGTATTACTGTACAGTCATTTAAATTATTAGGAGTAGTCAAAAAGCTTTTCTTTTGATGGGTATCATTTGATTAAACAGATTACAAACAAATGGAGAATATGCTCCCAACAGTAGGGTCATTAACTGCTGTCCGTGCAGTCATTCAGGGTGTATAATCCAGTGTATAACACACTGCATAGTTGTTTCTTGGTTATGTATTTCTTGTGGACAAGGCAAGCACAGTCTTGAAAAATAGCATAGAGATCTTAAACCAACTAATCAGCTGGGTTATCCTTCCTTTAGAAGATTCTTTTTGGAATTTACTGTTTCAGTGAACTACTTGAAATTCTGTACAGCAAGGAAACTATTCCAAATCCAAGAGCTTAGGTGAAAGCTTTACATCACCCCTCCCCAAGAAACCATACATTTCTTGAGCAAGCATCCAATGATTTATTTTCATTAAAGGTAAGGAAATGTTTAAAATGCCATGGAATATGAAGGACTGAGGAAGAACTGATGCTAGTTGTAACTTATCTCTGAGTGCTACTGCTGCCTAACTTACGGTCTCGAAACAGGTTTTAGGGTAGGAGTCAGTCTTCTGGCAGACTTAGTGTTGTGTAAGAGGAGCAACAGCAGAACAATTGCAAGAAATTTAAAGTAACAAAAAAATGGAGAGAAGCGATCATGTTCCTGCAGAGAGGAACTCAGGGCCATTGAATTCTTCTTTGTCGTGTCAGTCCCCCCCCCATGTGTAAGTATACCGAAGGAGCAGGGTTGTTCTTGCACCCTCCGTACCTCCCATACTTGCTGCACTTCTTGATTTGCAAAGCTTGCTGAGCCAGTTTTCACCCTGTGAGTGCCTTCAGGGTGGAGTGAACAAAGCTTGCATGACTATTCGTATTAGATCTGCAGAAGACTCATCCTTTGCCTCAAGATTGGGTGTGCAGAAGCTATTAAATGGCAAATAGCTCATGCTTCCTCCAGTACATGGTTTGCTCCACTCGCTTCTGAGCTGTATTTCTGAGGATAACTCTTTACTAGGGATGTCTGCTGGATGCTGTCAGTAGAAATACAGGCATACTTCAGACCAGCCTGCTTAATGTGCTGGATACAATCTGGATACTGCAACACTGAAAATTGGTTTTGTTGGCTTTTTTGACTTTTTTGGTTTGGTTTGTGTGGTCTTTTGTGGGTTGTTTTGTGTTTTTGTTTTTTTTTTTGCTTGTTTTATTTTTGACTTGGCTGCCCTGAAAACAATGATGTGGAGCAGTTATAACCAATAGCATATAAGTGGCAATAAAAATCCTGCTACTGGGTATTACATGAGAATCTTGCATATTGCTATTAGTATTTTCCTGTACCCAGGAACTGAGTAATATCAGATTGCATTTATGCAAACTTCATTTTAAAAGATGTAATCTTCTGGCTGAAGAGACTTAAAAACTGAACAAAGGGGGAAGAGGATCAGTGCAGAACACAATTGCAAGACTAGTTCATGTTGTGTCATCTCAAAGCTAAATTAGTTGTTCAGTATTTCTTTTGGCAGTTAAAGGAGTTTCTCAACTGAAAAATGGAAGAGAGTGGGAGGGAAGAAGTTATGGGAGGCACTGGCAGTGGGTGAAGCTGTGGTGATGAACCTAAGGAAATAACATAGAAATTTCTTCCGTATTATGTAGGCCACCTTGATGTAGTGTTTCTCCCTGTCCCCTTCACTAACTTGCTGAGTGCTGCAGGAGGTGGTGTTGCTGCTATGCAGTAAGAAGTTGTTCCTTGTTTCCTATCCTGCCTTGTTGTTTGGGAGTGTCTTTTGCCCATTGCTTCATTTAGATTATATGTGTGCATGCTATTGCATATAGTAGCTTTAGACAGCCAGGTCTGTTTTCTGACACTTCAGATGTGAATTTGGATTTAGCCACTTTCCAGTTGTCCAGGGGAGGCAACTTTTAAACATCACTATGTGTGCCTACACACACACACACACACACACACACACACACACACACACACACACACACACACACGTGGTCTCTTATCCCTTCACAGAGCAAGAGGTGGGTTTTACAAAGACTATTCTAACAACAGCTTTTCCCCAGGTGCCCATAATTTCTAGTGTCTCTGACCATGGGTGTCTGTTAGATTTCAGGTTTTTGCTTGGTTAATATTACTGTTAGCATGCTCCTCACATGTGCAGAAATCTATCAGTTTCTTCTCCAGTCTTGCCTAGAAGCCTTGCTCCTAGCTAATCAGAGGCAAAGGTGTGAGCAATTTTTATTCCCGCTAATGTTCACGACGTTGTTCCTCCCCTTTGATTGTGTTTATACTAATCTAGAGCTCCTTGGCACAACTGACTCTGTCTGAACACCTGGTACAGGTTTCTGTTGGCACTAGGTGAGTTTTAGGAACTAGATCTCCTGTTGATTGATATTTTAAGTTAAAATATTTTCTGATGAAAATGGATGTGGGGTGAGGGAGCGAGTTTGTTTTCTTTGTGTGACAGCCTTGCTTCAAATTCCTAGTGCCTTCACACTGCTGCATTTTCTCTTGGGCAGCTGATCACTTGTAGGGATCTTTGGCTCAGCAAAAAGGAAACACTAAAATGCCTGGAGTTTTGACAGCATGGTCTAACAGCCAAGTGCATGTATACGTACATGCATGCATGTCCTCAGCTGTAATAGCTATTGAAACTCCTGCCCAATTTCTCTTGACTTTGACAAAGATGACAATTAAAAAATCTTTGCAAAAATCAGCCAGGCAAGATCCAGATTTCAATACCTGTGCCTTCAGCAGCTTCTGGTTCCATGGACATGCAGCAGAGGCTGAGCAAGCACAGAGCTGTTAGATTCTGCAGAGGAAAGGGTGTCAGGAAAGGAAGCACTCCTCAGCTCCAATACCCTGTACCCAGAAACATCTGTGTGGTACTGATTAGGCACCTGCTGTGAGGGAGTCTGTTGATTAGTTTTCTTTTCAACCTCTATTCCCCAGGGGACAGGGGAGGCGTGAGCCTGAGTGTACTGTTTAGGAAAAGATACTGCAATGAAGTTGTTTTGAATGGTTTTTTTTGTTGCCACAAATACTGATAGTCTCAGAAACTGTGCTTTGGGGTTGTTCCATGTGGCTCAGGATTTTTAGCTTTGTTTTCTTTAAGAAAACCATTTAATGCTTTCACTACTTTACTCCAAAGAAAGTATGTGAAGGGAGGGTAATGGCTATGGCTAGGAAACTGTCTTGAGTCAGGCAGCTGGAGGGGACGGGTCACTAGTTTGTTTTGTGCCTTTTTTTTTTGTTGGGTTTTTAGTTTTGTTTTTAACTATGATGATTCATTTAAACTGCCAATGTTCTTGTAAGACTAAGCACCATCCTCTCACCTTACAGACTCCGGTGCCCACTTAAAACTAACAAAGCTTCAAAGTGTATTGTGTTGGCACAGCAGCTTTCCTTTCCTTGCTGTGGAAGAGTTAAACTTCAAAAACAACTTATTATTTTGTAGGAGTGACTTGCAGTTAACCCACAAATAATAGGGAAGGTTTTATTTCACAATGAGACTTGTGCTGCCCCCCCTGTTGAAGAGATGATACAGCAAAGCTGGAATGTGGTGTCTGTTTCTGACACCTTCCATTCTCTGCCCTTCATGTAGGCATCTGCCAATTGAAAATCAGCTCAGCTCTAGGTGGAAAAAAAAAAGCAGGTTTTCTTTAAGGGGAAAAAAAAGCTGGACTGAGAGCCAGCATTTGAGCACCACAGACTTGAGCATTTGCACTGTGTCCAGTGAGGTTTTTTTTTTTTGAAGATGTGGGCAAATAATTGGTGCATTTGACTATTTTGAATGCCTTGCATTACTGTACTGCCATGCCAGGATAGGTCTTGTTTAAGAAACTTTCACTTTTGCTCTGAAGTCATGATGTAAAGTAATGAAAGGAGTCAAAAAACCCAAGTAATTTTCCAAGACTGTTTTGTATTTCATTACTTGTTCTGTTCTTGGGCTGTTTTTTGTTTTGTGGGTTTGTTTTTTTGTTGTTTTTTTTTGTGGTGGTGTTGTTGGTTGGTTTTTTTTTTTTTCTGGGATTTTTAGCTGGCTTCTATTTTGTTGTCTTGGGTTCTTTAATCCTACACTCATCAAAGGAGATGTGAGTGAATAAAACCCTCTTAAAAATTTCATTTATAAATGATGGAGCAGAGTTGTCAGTAGTCTTGTAGTCCTGTAGCCTGGTGTTAGAGAGGTGCAAGTGTGACAGGAGACAGGAGAGGGAAACCGTTTACACTTGTGTGAAAGAAAGTGGTATGTGCAACTTGCATCAGACTCTCTTTATGAACACGGGGTTTTATCAAGTCGTTCTACAGCCTCTTTCCAGGGCAGAACACATCCTGCTCTCTATTGGCAGGGAGCTTATCCTTGCTATCATCTTCCAAAATACTTCAGATCAAAGAACATATGTGCTGTGGGACTCTGTTTTGTCTCTTGATTATCTACAATGGCATACACTTATCACATTCTCAAAATGCTTCTGTCTAACAGCACTAAATTTGGGTTGTATCTTCTAATGGGCAAGGTTTAGACCAAGTGCCATTTGTGAATTTGGTCAAAGTAAAATATTTATTGTATTTTGGGATTGCTTGTTTGGAAAGCATGTAGCATATTCTATTTCTGGAGCTCTTAGTTGATGGTTTGCTTCTCCTTCAAATTAGAGGTTAAAAATCTTAATTAAAGAGTAGAGTACTCAAGTGTCTTCTGGATGCAAAACTATCTGTCAAACATACATAATTCAAAGTATATTAAATATATATGTCCTTATTATGGGGTCTCATGTCCCTAGACGCTTTCTGGAGTGACCTTGCACTCCCATAGGTGGCAGTAGCTAGAGGCCAAGACAGAACAGCTAATGTATCCCAGTAGGAAAATGGATTAAAGATTCCCCCTGAGAAGTAACTTACCATCAAGGGTAACATGAAAGCTTGTTGGCTCTAACAGGAAGCCAATTAGAAATCTCTCTGGTGATGATTGACTTAACTCCAGCATAAAGATTTAAATCTTGACAAGAACAGTCCAGTGTTTCCCTATGGAGCCTCTCAAGTTGAAGATATGGGGAATATTATTTTAACGCTAATATCTGAACCATACAGTAAGTGATTGTTGTGAACAAGTTTTGTTTTTTTTTCTTGCTTGTTTGGTTTTATTGCCTGTCCTGTATGCTGAGGAAAAAAGAAAATAACTTGTGCTATATTTCATAGATCACCGATTTTCAGATCCAGAAAGAGTAAACTACAAATTTGAAAGTGGGCCATGGTAAGTGCTTTCGCCCTCTTCTTGCTGTGTGCACATACCCTACCAGTCTTGCAAATAACTGTTACCATTGTTTTATTTATCTTGCCACTGCTGTGGGAATCGATTAGGTGCTTTAAGTGGGAAAAGGAACAGATAACCTATGATGAGATGCAAGCCAGTTTTCTTGATACACTTCGATGTTGCCTGTTAACTGCTGGTCGTTCTGGGTCCTGCTAGTAAATGCTTATAATGGGTGTTAAGTGTGCTGTTAACAGAGAAGTAAGCATTTTTGCGAGTAACCCTGTTGGTACCAACTCTAAGATTCTTCCTGCAATTTGTGTCACAGTTATTGAATATGCATCATGCTTTTTTTTTTTATAGGGAAGAAATATTTCCATAAGGATACTGTACTACCAGTAAATTGCTTAAGCTATGATTGTCTTCTTCCTGAATAGATTTTAAACCTAAAGTGTTGCATACTTTTGATTACTGTTTTGGTGGCTTTTTTTCTTCTTTTTTTTTCTGGGGGGGGGAAGGGGGGTGTTGTTCTGTTTTTCTGTAATTATACTTCTATGTGTGATTACAGGTTTTTCTCAATGGTTTGCTGAATACTCCTGTGCTGGTATTACTTGTACTCCTGTCTTGCACGAATACTTCCCTTTTCCAGATTAAGAAACTAAAAAAAGCAAGAAAAGAATACAACAATGTTGACAGAAAGTATCCAGTGAGATTAGCTCAGGGTTTGTTTTACAGTGGCCATAAGCTTTTCCCCTTTCAATAACAAAATCCTGGGGTAAGGTGGAAGATTCCCATTTTATTTTTGCTGGTGAGAAGTACAGAATTAGGAGGTGAGAGGGAACAGCTTGAGACAGACACCTACGGAAAGGCTACCTGAGGTATTAAAGACAAACATGACCCTCCTGTAACAAGGTGTACCACAGCCTTTTTGTGCAAAAAGAAGTCCTCTGCTGCTGAACAAGACTTGATCTGCTTAATCAATCATACACTCTCTTCTGTGCAAAAACATGTCCTTGCAATAGCCAGAAAGGCAGCCTTGGGTAGCTGTGAGGGTATTGTTACACGTGGCACTTTTAACAAGTAACAGAACAAAAGAGGCTGTGGTAATGACCAATTAAACATGGCTTTCTGTGGCTGAGCTATTCCCATGCTAAGCAGCCAGTGTAGCCTGTAGCTATATTAGTCTCTAGTAGCAAGGTGACGGCTAAACAAGCAATGTTAAGGCTAAACTCTCTGGGCAGGAGTCCTCTGTGTGCTGAGTATAACCCTGAACTGATTTGGGCTTGGCTTGTAACTGGCTCTTACACATGATTACAGTACAAAAAAAAATAAGCATTGACCTCAGTTACATCTAACTGATCTGTTTCAATTTCCACCTACCTGAGATTAGAATGGCAAGTGCTTTATTTTATACCAGTAACCCTGTTCAGATAATGGAGAAGCACAAACCATTTGTATGTCAGGAGTGGGGAGTAAATTGTGAACATGATCAAAGAAATGAGAGCTCAAGGAGCGAATGTGGTGAAGCAGGAAAGGGGAGGTGGAAAAGGACCAGACGCTTCCTGAGGAGAAACACATGCAGTGGCTTTGGATGGTGGTGGCACTTAGCCATTGCTGCCCTGGAAGTGCCATCCAGTAGATGTGGAACAGGGACTGAAGCGCAGGTGACAAACAGGGAGAGTATTACATGTCAGATACTAAAGGTAGTTGTGTCTGTATTACTCCCTCTTTGTGTCTGCAGCAGCAAGATGGAACTTGTGGATGACAATGCTGTTATCCGAGCAAGAGGATTGCCTTGGCAGTCATCTGACCAGGACATAGCAAGATTCTTCAAAGGCCTAAATATTGCCAAGTTAGTAACCAAGAATTTACTTAAGCATTTGTAGTGCTTTGTCTGTGTTGGTCATAGAGTTCTCTCTCTCTTGATTTAAATCTTGCAGGGGAGGTGCTGCTGTCTGTCTTAATGCCCAAGGTAGGAGGAATGGGGAGGCTCTTGTGAGGTTCGTAAGTGAAGAGCATAGAGATCTAGCACTACAAAGGCACAAGCATCACATGGGAAATCGATACATTGAGGTGTGTGACACTGGCTTTGAAATCCTCTTTGTAACAGGAGTGCAAATAGCATACCAATTACATTCTTGTTTCTTTCTTTAGGTATACAAGGCAACAGGCGAAGACTTCCTTAAAATTGCAGGAGGTAATTTTTAGTGGGTAGGAATGACAGTGGGCTCCATCAGCATCTGCAGTGTTGGGCTATAAACTGCCCTTATTAGATACAGGTTTTCATTTTCTTTCTTTAAACAAGTAGCAGCAGTCTAAGGCATTCTGTGATTTATCTGTCCATCTTTCTCTTCCATATTGCTTCCATTTTCAAGCAGCCTATCCAATAAGGATTGATCAGGCAAGATGATGACCTTGGATATGAACTTAATTTGGTAGCTCATCTTAACTGAAGGAACCTAAATGTTATTGATTACTAAAAACCAAAGCCAGAGTATTTCTGAAAAACAGTAACAGTTGTTGCTGTGGAGGTTTGCATGTAAAAGCAAACGGATATCACAGTGTAAATAACAAGGGTGTGCCTGGCACAACCAAACTTCTTTGGAGAATGAGCTGGGTGTAAGTGAAAGGACCCATATTAAGACGTGAAGCTGTTTAGCAGCTAGCCTTGGTTAGGGTAATATAAGTATACACCTCAGAGGTCTTCTCCTAGAGATACTGAAAGTGGAACTAGCAGACTTTGACAGTTTTATTGGGATAGGATGAAATTCCTGGGCATGTTTTCAACATGTCCTTCCAACTTTCCCAGCACAGTGGTCTGGGTACTTGGCTACTATATATTATGGTTTCAGAGCATGATAAAGGTGTTCATAAGTTAGGAAGGCAAGGTGCATGATAGCAGAGGTAGTGCTCATGCAAAAGATTCAGAGACTGCTTTCCTTGAGCTCTGAACTTTAAGTAGTTTTTATTTTCCCCTTGAAAAAGGATAAATCTCTTCCAAATGGAGTAACATTGTTAGACTTTAATGGGAAATGTCCTTACAATATTTCTAGTTTATTAAATGGGGGGAGGGGTGTTATTTACTTTGGAAGCAAACATTGTTCTACCTGCCGTGTTCTGTCTTTGGGGAGGAGGTAGCTATGCCGGACTTGCTCATGATCTTTTATGACCACATAGACTTAAGTGCTGCTTCTGCATATTTTTTTGTTAAAGGTACTTCCAATGAGGTTGCACAGTTCTTGTCAAAAGAAAACCAAGTGATCGTCAGGATGCGAGGTCTTCCTTTCAACGTTACAACAGAAGAAGTGCTGACATTCTTTGGCCAACACTGCCCTGTAACAGGAGGAAAGGAAGGAGTCCTGTTTGTCACATACCCTGATAGCAGGCCAACAGGGGATGCCTTTGTATTGTTTGCTTGTGAGGAATATGCACAAAATGCACTGAAAAAGCATAAGGACTTGCTGGGAAAAAGGTACATCGAACTCTTCAGGAGCACTGCAGCAGAAGTTCAGCAGGTGGGTGTAAATATTGCAAACATTGGTTTCTTGTAATCAAAATTCCTACACTGGCATACAGTAGTGGAAGCAAATACTACTTGGCCATGACTTGAAAGCTTTCTTTTCCCTCTCTCACTCTTGACTCTTGCTGGAAGAAGCACTGTCTGAATTTCCATGAGGTTTTGCTCTTTCTAAATGTAAGATTTCATGGCATGTGGATGTTCTCAATCATATATGTGTGTGCATACACTTACACATGCATACAAACCTTTTGGAGTTTTGGCTTTCGATAGCCTTGCAAACAGCAGTTATAGGAGAAAGTTTATGTAGGTCTAGTGCTTTACACAACAGATACTAAATTTGTTTAAGTCCAATTATGTTCTATTCAGGAGGAAAGTTAGCAACAAATCTTGATCTAAAAGACTTATATTTACTCACTGGCACAGAAAAACAAAGCCTTTTGATGTAGCTGTCTTCAGGGCAATGTATCTGAAGAGTCTTACAAATTGCCTCTAAGGGCAGTTCTTGGCTATCTTCTGCCACCACTGGCTGTCTGGCAGAGGGTGGCAGGACTTTGTGAAACTGGGCCTGAAGAGTGCCCCCTCTTGCATTAACATGGCTTTATGGACCGTTAAATTTAGTTATGCTGTCAGGGTAAAGAAGTAGGGCTGAGAGGATTTTCTCTGAAGATTTATAGAGCTGCAGTTGATGTCACAAACTTCTAAATGTGATTCTAAGAGGTCTCATCTGTAATGGAAATACAGTCAAGCAGTACCCATGTCCTTGTAACCAAGTAATGGCACAGCTCTGTTCCCCCAAATATGTAGATATTTCAGTGCATTGCCTGAAGGGTGGCACTTGATGATAAGGCATAGCTGCATAAGGCATCATTGTGTTTTTTCTCAACTGCTCTCATTTCTTTGCTTAACAAAACCTTGATAACTGTACAAATGTGCATGAACTTTAATCTTGCTTGGAGTCAAAGGCTAGTGACTATTTAGTGAACTCTTGAAGAGGCCAGGCTTTTACTGTTAAAATAGTAAGAAAAAATGTCGAAGTGTGACTGTGACTCAGTACTACCACCTACGTTACTTGATGGACTATTGCATCTCAAAGCAGGGCTGATTAGTAGTGATACAGCTTCTAGTTCCCAGACTCTCCTGAAGTTTTGCTGAGGAGTTATTCTGGGTAGAAGTGTCACCATGACCGTACATAGTAGAATTACTTTTTTTTGCTATTTTCCCAATAAAAATACTGTAGAAAGACGGGTTTCATGTTCTAAGAAGTTTTCTGAGAGTTGCACATTTTGAGTATATTTTTTCAATGCAAAATTATCTTTTTTAAGGAAAAAGAGCCTAAATATTGACTTTGAACATTGGATTTTAAGCATGGCTTTTGTTGTTTAAGCCCAGAATCTAGCTCACATTTTTCATTGAAATACTGCCCAAATTGAAAACAAATGGCAGTGGTGTTATGTTCAGTTCCTCTGAGTTGAAAAATAAGTAAGGAATCTTTCTGTAACCTCTGTTTTTCTTGTTTGCACAGGTGCTGAACAGGTACTCTTCCACGCCTCTCATTCCTCTCCCAACACCTCCTATTCTTCCAGTATTACCTCAACAATTTGTGCCTCCCACTAATGTCAGAGACTGCATACGTTTGCGTGGTCTTCCCTATGCTGCTACTATAAGGGACATCCTGGAGTTCTTGGGGGAGTTTTCTACAGATATTAGGACCCATGGAGTTCACATGGTACTAAATCACCAGGTAGGCACCAAGTTTCTAGCCATTTCATGCCAATTACTCTGTGTATGAACAGAGTCCTTCTGATGGTTACAACAGAGAAGCACCTTTGGGATTGACACTAGTGGCATTAATTGGCTCTCCTCTGAAAGTACTGGCAGTAGATATGTTGGCTTATTTGAACCCTGCTGTGCTAGCTGTTGCATTTGCTCTAGAGCAGTTTCTGTTACTGAGACCCATGTGCTTAAAGCTAAGCCACAGTCCTAGAGGGATTTGTGCTCCCAGAGCAGCAGCTGTGATCCTGCACTGCAGGAGGCTGGAACTGAAGAGTCCTGCTCAACAACATGCGTAATTCTTGTACCAGGCAAGAGGTATCTCCAAAACAAGTGTGGACAAGGTTAGCTCTCAAAGGAGGGGTTTGCACCTGCCTTGATGAACAATATGCTGTGGGTACATTTGAAGACAACTGTGAGTGTGGCCTTTTTAGACAGGATTTCCTATGGCATAAGTCAACATGAAACCTTGGGTTTCCTGAACTGTGTGCTTGCTTTTTTTTTGAACAGTTGCAGCTATGCACCGAGATTAACAGCTCATTGACACCTGTAAACGGTCACATCTTTGCCATTGTTTTCTGGAAGTAGCTCCTAGCAACACTTTTTAGATAGAGGATTGTGTTGTCATCCCCTTATTTGCAGTCTTGTGACTTTAGGGGGAGGAAACTGCAGCTCCTTTAACTCTGAAGATGCCCTGAGTGGTTCCACTGATTACACTGATCATTGTGATGTAAAAGTAGTTATTCTAAATGGTTTTGGTTGACACTAAGCCTAAAGTGAAACTACAAAATACTTCCTTGTCCTGGAGTAAGGCTTCTCCGCTTTTAGGGTGTGGGGAAGGAGAACACACTATAGGTATTCCAGTACCTTGATTTGAAGTGATTCCCGTGTCTGAGGACATGATGTAGCCAAGGTTGGAAAATCTGAGGAATGTGCAGGGCTGGGAGAGGCTAAGAAAAGATACAGATGTTACAGCACAAGTAATGGTTTACAGTAGTATCAGCCCTTACCAACAGTACAGAATGTATGTATGTAGTCCTGAGGGCTGTCTGCTAACCCTACCCAAAGCTGTCAGACTTATTTTTCCTCCTGATACTGCTTTTGCCTGATCAGTAGTTTATCTTTCTGTATGCTTCCACCAATCCTGGTTTCAACCATATAATCATGAACAACTGTACAAAGGTTGGTAATGAAGTTGTTCTCCCCTCTGAAACTAGAACTGACCTAGAACTTCAGTTAGAGCTAACTCTAGTTTTGGCTACTTCGAGTCAGAAGCTGCATGTTGCTAAAATTACTCTTCCCAGTTGTGTATCCTACTCATCTACAGCTAATGTAAGGGTGTCATTGTTAGTTTTCCTCTGCACTCTCATACAAAACCTTAGGCTAGTACCCTTCTAAAACATCCTAGCCTTAATAAAAATTATTTAATCTTTGACACTTGCCTGTATTTATCCTTGAATTTTAAAAATCCCAGGTAATAAACGTGGATTAAATCTTCCAATTCTGCATACTTACTAAACTGGTAAGAGCAGATCTCGGAGTGCCCAAATGTCCCTGAACTGTGGTCTCTGCCATAGATGTTCTTATTTTTTTTAAAGGTAGAAGTAACAACAGTTTAATTGAAACAACTAAATGAATACAGTCAAGTTAGCACAAGTGGGAAGAACTTTGGGGAGGAGAGCTTAAACATGCTGATGGGTGCTCATGTAGGCTAATTGATTTGGAAATGGATATTTTTACGGTTGAAGAGACTTTTTAACAGCACAAATTACTGCTATTCTGCTACTTTATGGGAGAAACCCTGTTTTCTGGCCTGTTTATAGGGACGTCCATCGGGAGATGCTTTTATTCAGATGAAATCTGCAGACCGAGCTTTTCTGGCTGCACAGAAGTGTCACAAGAAGACTATGAAGGACAGATATGTTGAAGTCTTTCAATGCTCTACTGAGGAGATGAACTTTGTATTAATGGGGGGCACTTTAAATCGAAATGGCTTGTCCCCACCACCATGTAAGTTACCATGTAAGTTTTGCATGGGTCTTGCAAATCTGCTACGCTGAGTGCGGGTAGGTGTTGGAGCTGCTTTATTGACTCTGATTCTGGTTCTTTGAAAGGAATGTCAGGTGGGGGTATTAAAATAAGATCTTTTCATCTTGAATCGGCAGCAGCTTGGAACCATTATTTTTCCCTTGGGTTGTGAATTGCTGTGACTGAAGAACTACTTTAAACTTATTCTTGCTTTTCCAGTGGCAAACTTCCTTTCCCCTCCCTGAAACTTAACTTGACCAGGGTGAGCCATGACTCTGAGAAGGAATTTGTAAGCCCTGCCTAGGCTTTAGAACTTAAAAAACTGTTTCCTATTTACACTAATTCATATTTACATTTTTCATCATGATGAACATGTCAAGTACAAGCCCTTCCCCTTTCATTTCCAAAACTTAGTTTATGAAAACATTGGTAATGTTTCCCTTTGGGAATTAACTATAAATGTTCTGCTTGTTGAGCCACTACTGGCAGAACTCTTCCTTTGCTTTTTGCTGTTTGTGTAAAGTTGAGATTGTCCATGTGGTACACATACCTCTGGCCTCAGAGAACTGCAGAAATTGCATTTCATGTGAAACTGTACTCCTCAGAGCTACTAGAATGAACATGGGCTTCTAGACAAATGTCTGGGGGAAATGCTTTAAGAGCTTAAGGGCTAATTCACTAAGCATATGTGCCATATAAATCTGAGCCTATGGGAAAAATAATACTTTGCTTCCAAGATCATAAATGGCAAGGTAATAGGAGCTTTCTCTCTGTCTCCGTGCAAATGTGTTATGGTTCTTGGTGGCTTTTTAAGAAGTGTCCTCAATCCTACTCAGAGGTGCCAATAAGGCAGCAAACTTCTTGGGTGTGGTTCCTTTTGAGTCTAAGTAGACCTTCAGCTAATCCTTGGGAGATGGTTTCCAGGTGACCAGCTCTTTTAATGCAAGTATCCTTCTGAGCAGGGATCTGCTGTATGTAGTGCTGTATGTGACAGTTGTTCCAGACAGGTTGGAAGCTTCTCCTGGGAGTTCCTGGGATAGGTTCTTGAGCAGAGTCCCAAACTTTGGGAACTCTCAGGTGGCAGTGTTCCCACTTCCAACTACAAATGCAAGGGATGTGTTCCTCAGAGAAGCCCTTTCAGCTCTGTACCTGTCCCATCCCATAATGCAGAGAGGGTCTGACTACCACTTGAAGGAAAATCTCTATTTTTGCTATTCAGGGTTATCTGAAGCTTTTATATGTTCATTTTCATGATAACTGGGGGGGGAGAAAGAAGGAAGAAATGTAGAAGAGTAGCAAAGGAGGTGGGCTAACTCTCAGCAGTGAGAATTCATTTAAGGTCTTGTGCCTTGTTGAAAACTCAGTGTTAACACTTGAGGCTGCAAAGCCACAACTTTTCTCACGCTGCTGTCTGTTAATTGAAGACAGCTGTTTTGGGGAATAGGGAGTGTTGGGATGAAAAGGTGCCCTCTGCTCTGGGGAATGTTAGGTAGATCTTTCGCATAGAGTTTTCCTTCTTACAGTTCTTGATTGGAGACTTCATAACATCTGAGCCTAGACAAGAAAAACTGGCCTTCTCATCAGAAAGAGACTCTATTCACAGAGCAAGAGGTGTACTACTTATTTTGGTGGGGGCTGGGCACAACCAACAGTTGTAGTCAAGCTCATGTTGGTAGCTCAGATTTTTCTGCAATGAGCAAGAGAATGAGAACCTTGTGAAGGCTCCCTACATACTGCAGAGTTGTTCAGCTGATGAAGACCACATATATGCTGGAATTCAAAAGGTCCTAATTTCTTTTCCATTTATTTCCTTTAGGCCTTTCACCCCCTTCCTACTCCTTTCCGGCTCCCACTGCAGTTGTGCCAACAGAAGCTGCTCTGTATCAGCCATCTATGCTCCTGAACCCACGAACACTCCAGCCCTCCACGGCGTACTACCCTGCTGGGGCTCAGCTCTTCATGAACTACACAGCGTACTACCCTAGGTAAAGCAGAGGAGAAACCAAGCAGGAACAAAGAAGTCTTTTTTGCAGCAAATGCACAAAGCTCACAAAAAAACGTTGTCTGTCACGCTAAAGGCTTGTGCTACCAAGAGCAGCTTGTTCGGTATCTTGTTCAGGGAAACAATTTCAGGATATCTAGGGATTTCCTAAGTTTTAGAGTATTTCAGGTAGTAATAAATTTTTATTTTTTTTTATAAGTTACACAGTTACATTGGGATTTTTTTGTTGCTGTTTTGTTTTGCTTTCACCTAACAATCCTCTTAAACTTGTTACTTTGCATTGTTGTGCCCTCAGTGGGAGTTGGTGTGTGGATAGGGACATCCTTCCCATGTCCATAAAGAAGCTCTTGGCCCTCTTTAGAATGGATGGATTGGGGTCTATTCTAACAACTTCTGAAATTCTGCCTCCTTTTTTGTAATAAAGTAACTTTTGACCTTTATGGTCGAAACTTTATTATTTATGGAAGTACTGCATTGACACATATATGTATTGAATGCGTATGTAAAGTGTATAGAGGTATACATTGTTCCTGATCTCAGAAACACTTCTCATGAAGGGCTTTTGCCTCTTCTGGATGTATTAGCTATCTTCTACAGAACAAAAACTCCTGATACCATTTGCTCTCTGCAGTCATGAGGCCTTGGGAAGAGCAATGTTCCCTGCAAGCCATAAACCACTCCATCTGTCAGGAAAACCTGCTCAGCTCTTCTAATAGATACTGACCAGTGTCTTTTGTCTCTGGAGAAGGGTCCAAAAAGCTACTTGTGAAGCTGTTGAGCAATATGGACTCTCTAGTACCTGTAAGATAACAATGGTTTTATTACTACTTTACACTAAACCAGTAAGTCTGTGAGCTGCCTATTGTAGTTTTTGTTGTTTTGGTTTTTTTGTTTGTTTTGTTTTGTTTTGTTTTTTTTAATTGAAATGTGTTCTTCACTTATGAGTTAACTTCTACAATGCCTTCAATGTCTGCCTTAAGGTTATAATTGTGTTACTAAACTCAGCCTCTTTAATGTAAGATCAAGGAAAAATAAAGTTCCAAACTTGCACTGGCAATATAAAACAAGCTTCTCGGTAATAGATCTGTATGTTAGGAGAACATGGTAGCAGTAATTCATGTGCTAATTAAAGTAGTAGACTGGCCATTGCAAGCAAAGTGTCAGGCTCTACAGAGATGTCTTTGTCTTGCTGAATGGGATCCCACATGAATCCCATCACTAGCTGCATGGGCTGTGGGCATATGTTTTGGTTAGACAGATCAATTCCAAGTCCCAAAATATCCTTTTTATAGTCTTGTCTAACTGATAGTTGATAATATTCCCAAGAACTTTCCTGGGTAGCTTCTGTGGCAATTACAGACACCTCACTTAATGGTAAAATTTCTGGAGTTGGTTTCTTTCAGTGTTGTGAGATCTGGTGTTTGGATATTGCTTTTATGACCAAAGCAAATATTTGATTTACAGATTGTACATACTCCAACAGAAGCAGTAATCCTTTGTAGCTGATAATTTGGGGCTTTTTGGTGGGCTTTTTTCCCTAAAAAAAAAAAATAAAAAAATCATGCTTTATTGCTTTTCAGGCAAGGTCTATGCTTTGTAAAGGATGCAGTAAGTAATTGGATCCCTTTCATGTAGCAGTTGGAGCTCTTCTTAATGGAGTTTTCTGGTTCTGAAACATGAATTAAAAAGTTAAGTATGTGCAGCAGGAAAGAATGGGATATCCTCTATACTAAGTGGTGCATTTAAATGCATGTACATGGAAAAGCAATACAGAGCTAGTGGCTAATGATCAGACAATGGTTCATAAATCTAACTAGTGAATACTTATGGAAATAAGGAAAGTTTCTTTGACCTGCTGCCAAAAGGTTCTACCAGTTGTGATTTGCAAGGTCAAGTTGCTTTGTAATAGCCAACTCTGTTTTCCACAGAGTCATCAACTTAGATGGTGGGAGGGAGGGAGGCATTACTCTGGTCTTCCATGTTTGTCAAATTCCCGAAACTCTCAGACTTGTCTTAATGCTTTTATAGCTTTGGTGATGAAACCTGATGGTGTAAAGAAATCGATGCCTTCTAAGCTATTAAAATAGCTTTAGTGAACTGCAAATGAAAAGGAAGGAGAGCAAGTTATTCAGGATCTGTCAGGCTTTGATATCTCTGTTCAGCTTGTAATTATATCTGGCAACATGTTCTGACAGCATATCAGTGGTCTCGGTCCCTGCCTAATCCCAGGCCTTTGAGAAAAAGAACAATAGGATTCATGGGAGGGAGGAGCTTCTTTCTTTATCTAATCCTGAATTAATATGTGTACTTGTTGCTGTGTATTCATGTACATTGAAAACAATAAGTGTGCTACTTGGCAACTGCTAACATGTTCTGCAGAAACTTTTACCATACACAAACTTAAAAGTTACTGCTACAGATATGTAGTTTCAAAACAAAGTTAAGTCTTACTGTATTCATTCAGTTCCAATGCCATTTTGATCACTTAGGCAGTGCCTTTAAACCTCTAGAAGTTTCTGTCAAAATCCATGATTACAAGGACTTAAACTTTGGGTTTTGGTTGGGTTTTTTTTGTTTGTTTTTAAACTATATTTTGAATAGCGAATTGGGAAGAGGAGCTTCTTAGGGAGTAGTATGCTGGTGAAACTTGTAGCCAAAAATTGATGTGGAAGCTGAAAAATGATGGGGGTTCAAATAAACTGGGTAAATTGAAGAGCAGGAAATTCATTGTGAGTTAGTGAATACAGAGAAACTACATCTGGCTCAGGAAGTCCTTGAACTCAAAATAACTGGAAGAGCGTTCTTATATTCTGTGTCCTATGGTAAATTCTTGAGCTATTGAATCAAGGTAGATATGCAAAGTTGTTTATTTGCACCTTTGAAGTAGTACTTGTCTTGAGATACAGGTACTGCTTGTGAGCATGGGCCTTTTCCAATGTGTTTATAGTTGTATTCAGCTGTGCTAGTAATAGTGTCTAAGTTTGAGTGATCTCTGTTCTCTCAGTGTATGTACAGTTCTCCCTTGGAGTTACTTGAATGAAAAGGTCTGGTTTATGTGGTAGTTAAAGACATGATTCTCACAGTTGCTGCACAAGGAGATAGAGGGTAATTTGTTACAGTCTTCATCTGCTTCCTGCTATGGATCAGGTATGTGTTTTTTCATTATACACTAATCAACTTGTAAAAGTATTTATATATGGAACATACATATAGCATTAATATATAAATGAATACTTCAGTGTGTGTATAAGAATAAAATGACCAAGGTTAGAAAAAAGTGTCACTTGTTTTCTCTGATGGATCAGATCCTCCTTAATGACCATCATGAAGAACGAGTAGTGGGTTGTTTTTTTGTTGTTGTTTTGTTTGTTTTTCTAACATTGGTCATTGCTTGGATCCATATTGAAGCACAACTAAGTTACAAGTATAAACTGGCAGAGCTAGGAACAAGTGGGCTAGGTTAGGAGTGATACCATTCAAAGCTGCTGGCAGCGGCTTTAGTTATGTATCTGTGTGCTTGGCTAACCAGCATCCCTTGACAGAACTGGGTTAAGAAACCCAGTATGTGTGTTTTGCTGGGAGATTTGTCACAGATGGAGAACAGCAGCAGCCAGAACTAAAACCTCTTCATCAGCTTAGCTGTACTGTTAGTAACACTCAGGACCATAGCTCCTAGACTGTAGTATTCTTTTTGTATTTTAAGTATGTCATCTTGGATTGCAGGAGATCACATCTGCAGTGAATGGGCTGACTGAGCATAAAAGCTTACTGGTGGTTTTTAGTTGCTGTCCAGCAAATGGAGTTTACATACTTAGAGCAAGTGGCAGAATTTGGGAGTCTTAAGTACCATGGCTTACAGTGAGCTGGTCTCCAACACAGATTTGTTAAAGCAAATGTCAACTCTTTAGTTAATGACACAAACCTGTCACCAGAATGATTGTTTTGGGGGAAGACTTAATGATTCACTTTTCCAAATAAAGATAGCTTGCCAAGGTTTAGAATAGCAGGGATGCCTTTAACTACTACTGTACTTCATTGGGGGAGACATGTATTAGCAGGGAAGAGTAATTGTTGCATGCCTTCATAGACTGTCATTATTTCTTCGTTTGTAGGTTTCAATTAGTAAAGCTGCCGTGGTGTTTGAAAAGCAGCAGAAGGGTGATGCTCTGATCAATAGGTATCTGGGTATCAGGATGATACAATTATTTAAATTGATAAAAAAAACCTCTCACTTCTAAGTTGATAAATCTGTAAAAACACTGTTGTTCATAGCAGTGTCCAAGATGTACTCAATGCACCATACAAAATGCCACCATGAATGTTGGTGGAGGTTCTTCTACTTACAGATCCTAGTTCCTTCTGTTTGCTTAGTATACTGAACGATTTTATATTCAGTTAGCAGTGCTTACTGTCACTTTCTGGCTTTGTATTTGCGTGAGTATGAGGGGTTAACTGAAATAAGAACATTGTGCATAGCTGCAGAGATCACTTTAAGTATAGTTGTTTCTTTTGCTTATTTACAACACCAGTTCAGTGGTAGGAGAGAAGATCTTCCTGTTGTGCCTCAAGACCCATGCAGGTGGCTTTTTTAAATATTTGCAATGTTAGCCAGGTGATCTCAGGTTATTCAGGGTGCAAAGACATGTTGCTGGATGATTCCCTTTACTCGGCTCTCTATAGGGGTGTGTTGAAAACCCTGACACTAATCGGAGTATACCATTACAGTGATAGCAGTTCCATTCTGTGGCAGCAGGCGCTTCTGGCTCTGTTCCCATTGCTCATTGTTGTTGAGCTACACTTAACTTGTACAGATGGGAAGCTGATTGCAGCAGGCAGACTGGTTAGATATGCATTGAGTGCGCAGTAGGTTTTCTGGTTAAACTTGGGCATGGCATATATACCAAAGGAGCTTTTGGTGTTTCCAAGGGTAGAGTTGGCTTCATCTTGGAATAAGGCTCCTTAGAGCTGATTAAACTGTAGTCATGGGGATCTAAATGTTTGTTGATTAACAGATGAGCTGATGATTTAGCACTCATACTTCTGCTATTTGTCAAATTATATGGCCTTTCCTTCTTGAAATGTGGATAAACATTCCAGTCTTGGAAAAGGGAAAATTATTCTGGTTATGTAAACACTTTTGCTAATAGCATGTCTTACTGGGTTTTCGTGCACAAAGCACCATGTTAAAACTTTCAACTCGGGTAATTATACCACAAAATTTACTTGTTTTGCCTCCCTCAAACTTTGTATGAACCACTTCTAAAAAAACCTTTATACTGAAACTGCATTTCCTTTTGCTTTTGAGCTGCTTTCCAGCAATGAGCATTATAGGCATTATGCTGCCAGCCTGTGTATACGTGCACATTATACCTATGACCTGTGCCAGCCCAAGGAGTAGTTGAAAATCCCTACTGGTCTCTGAAAAAAGTCGGCTGTTTATTGGATGCTGGGGTGATCTGTTGGAGGTCCTTGAGGTTTTCTGGAAGCTGCTTGGTGATGTGCACCTTCTGCTTTTTGCTGTTCCTCTTCTTGGCTTCAGTCAAAGGATCTGGTTTTGGGGTACTGCATAACTCGTGAGGGTCTGCTGTACTTCCTAGAGCTAGCAAGGGGGAGGCTAATTTAATCTTAACACTAAATAATGCGTCCAGCAAGTTGTTATTCCCTGCCCCTTCCACTTTTTCTCTTCCATGACTTTTCCTTCTGGTATTTCTCTGGGTAGTATGGTGAGGGGTATCTAATAAGACTAACCTGCAATACAGGACCTGTCTTACAGTCCTGAAATTAATAGAAGCTGTCAATCAGTAGCCTGATGAAAGGGTAGCTTTGGTATCTATTGCTACAGAGGAGGAAGTAGTTAAACAAAAATTTTCTTCAGGACTACAGCGAACAAAGTCATAGGAAAAATATAGGGATAGAAAATCTGCAGGGAGGGGATGGAAACCTGTAGATGGTGTCCATGGACACGTCTTACTGTGTGCAAATGGTGCTCAGTATGTCTGTGGTTCTCTTGGCTGACCTGCAGGATACTTGGCAGAGATCTGTAAAACCTGCTTGGTTATGTATTCTGACTGCTCCCAACTCACACCCGCTTTTAACATAAACCACAGCTTCCTTCTGGACATTGGTATCTGTTAAGCAAATGTATAATGGAAAAATATATTAGGAAATCAAACAGGAGAGAGCGTGAGCCTCAATGTTTCTACATAATACTTTAGTGATGATTGTTTGGGATCCCTTGAGGTGCATAAATGCTGTTTGAATGTCAACATCAGCCTTTAGAACATGCAAAAACTTGTTCTTGCATCCAAAACTGATTTCTGGAACTTAATTGTGTTTGATTTTGAGAGTCTTTGGAGAATTCCACAGTGTCAGAAATATTGACTGGAAAAAAAATCTGTTGATCAGATTCAAGAAATATCAATTTGTAAGGAAAAAGGTTCCCATTGGGAAATGCTTCATGTTGTGTTTGATTTCAAGAATAAGGTTAATATAAAAAGAGTTAAGGTCTTGCACTGGATTGTTATATATGCAACTACTAAGAATAGCTGTAGGAATCTTCTCTGAGCCCATACATAGCATGCAAGTGTTAGTTCTGGGGTATGCTTAACTAGAGGAGGTAAGCTGGAGTACTTACTATTACTGTTGTCCTCTATATACTGCTTTTCTACCAGGAAACATGACCAATCCAAGTCCCTTGCTCCTGTTCCTCTATGAGGTGGTCACCCCTTAGTTTGGGGAGAATGCGGAAACAGCTGTGGGCAGTCCATGTGTTATCTTGTATCGGGGAAATTAGGCTTAAAAACTCTACCTGCTCTAACCTGTTGCTGAAGCTGTCTGTTACCTTTATCTCCAAGGTGCTATTATGAACTAGGAAGTGCATGTTGTGTCTCAGTGAAAAGCCAGCAGATCTCTGACTTCCTTAAAACATAGCAGGACTCTGTAGAAGTCATAATAATAGAACTAGATGGGTGCAGGGGAATTAGACCAGCTGCATTTTGGCTTGGTTTTTATTCCCCCTAATAAGAGCACTGAAGGGGAAGCACTTTTGTTCTGCTGAATGCTGTCCTACCATAGCTGAGGGGAGAACACACTGGGCTAAGTGGCTGGGATGGTGGAAAAGCTCTTCTCTGGGACGCCCAGCTAAAGCTTGCATGGCACCACTGCAAGTACTTGTGGCCTGTCTTTCAGCAAGGGCCAGGGAGGAGAGGAACTTTGGGTTAACAGCAGTACCTTGTAAAGACAATGGCTGTAGCTTTGCTTCAAAAGGAAGGCTAGGCTGCCCAAGGTGTCTGTCATTGTATGTGTCTGGTTTTCTTCTGCTGGCTTCTTGTTTGATTTTTATGTTGGGGTTGTGTGTGTGTGTGCGTTTTAAGTGATGCAAACGAATTGTCTTGCCTTACTGAATTAGTTTGTCTTGGAAAGCTGCATCTTGGTCTGCTTTGGGAGTTGGCCTTTTTATCCCCCCTAATAAGAGTCAACTCTGCAAAGCAAGCTGGCAAAAGGTCTCTTTCCTTGTTCTTCATATGAGCTTTGTAACTAATGGGGTGGTTTACATAAGGATTGCAGAAAAATTTGAACTATTCTGTAGCTTAAGTTCTCTCATGGTGTTCTGGTTTCCTGTCTCAGATGCACAAATCGCCCATTTTGGTAGCTTCAGCTGGCTGACCAACAGGATTAATGACACTTCAACAAAGCTACTCAGCTGCAAATAGACTGGTGGGTGCATCTTGTTTAATGAAACAAAGATGATTTTTCTTAGATGTTACATATGCATGCCTTTAGCAATAGCTGGAAACTCATGTGGGTTATGCAGCATTTTAGAAAAGAGGATATTTGCTGGAAATGCCAAATCAAACTAAAAAAAAGAGGCAGTTAACTAACTACAGTTTTGTGGTGATTTGAATAAGGCTGTGGAAGACCTGACAAAGAATATCAAAGCTTCTAACATCTATGAACTGTGAATGGCTTGGGTGTTAGAGACAAGTATTGTTATTACTCCTGAATAAATTAATTATTGTGGCATTAATATTGCTTTAAAGCAGGACAAGCAAGTCCCTTTGTGGCATTAACCTTTAACCTGTGTCAGTTGTCACTGACCACAAAAGGTGCTGTGTCTAAAGAGTCCATGAAACATAAGTAAATAAAAGCAAACACTGCCTTGCTAGCATTGCTGGCAGCTGTGGAGAGCTCCTTCCTCAGGTGTATTTGGCAGCTACTTAATGGAGAGCACTGACCTGGAGCTTTTGTCCAAACTGTGGATAGGCATATCTGCCATGGATTCATCTCCTTATTCTTTAGCTACCTTGGAAACTTTGGGGTTGTAGACAGCATGTGATGGCAATAAGCCCCAAAGATGGTTGGTAAAATGAGGGGGAAGACTTATTTTCAACCTCATAAGCTAAAGTATTCTTGTGGATCTTCTGTTTGAGGAGGTATGTATGTTGACTGTGGTAGCATTTTATTGGAGATTAGCAAGATTACTAATATCATGGCAAAGGCATGCAGGGAACCATTAGTGGGAAGTGTTGTACTGTGATACATTTGTATGAAGATGCTACTCTACAGTGTAAAATCTGAACTTCCCACAGCTGTTTTTCTGACAATAGGTTCAAAATTGGTGTAAATGATTGCAAGTGTTATCTTTTGGAGTTAGACTGTTTGTATTACCTGGTGAGCCACTAGTGAAGAATTATTCACAAAGGTGATCAGGAACAAAATATTGTGGGGATAAACAAGCATTATAAGCAGTTCCTGTGGGCAAACAGCTCTCCTAGGTATGGATAGCTCTTCACTGAAGTGTAGTGTTAGACTTCAGCCAATTGCATTTGCTTAGTGAAACCCTTGAAGGTTTTTGTCTGAAGGGAAGACATAAACATCTGTGTTGTGTCCAGGAGTGGACACAGCTGGCTTTCATATGCTTTCCAGCTTTTATGTGGCTTGTCAGCTGGCTTTCCTTATTGCCTGCTGTGACTGAGCTATCCTCTTCTATAGTGTGCTGTATGAAGATGACACCAGGGTTTTGCAAATAGTGGGGACTGGGGAAGGGCAAGACTAAAAACAGCAGTAAGAACACATGCTAGGAGGCAAATGCACCTGTAAAACTTAAGTTGTGGAGGAACTCGAGATGATGAGCTATAATTTAGAGAGATTGAATGTAGGCTAATGCTGTAGGACTTCTGGGGAGGGAAGACTCCTCCATAAGACATATTGGGGCAGTCGTCTTTGGACTAACCTTTGTCTTCATGAAAGACTGATAGTGCCCAGAGAAACTTTCCTATAGTACTTTTATAGCTAGGAGTTTGGAGAACAGAAGTGGAGGCAGTCTGGGAACTGCCTTTCTAATGTGGTTTGAGGAGGCTGTCTTAGGTCTAAGGAATAGCATGAAGATGGTGATGGCAGTATTAGATGCTCGAAACCATGCACGGGAAATAAAGCAAAATGATCAAGCAGGCCTTGAGCAAAAGTGTGGGATTTTGGGGAGGAGAGGGTTATTTGCTTTACTTTCATCTTAAATTCGGGTAATGAGTAGAAGCCAGTGGCACCCTCAGTATTAGGACAACTTGAGGGGTAAATGGCCTATGTAGATCTAACTAGTAGTGAACTTGTTAGCTTTTCTTTTAGAGACACTGAGAGCTACGTATGGCTCTGGCTGTACAGGAGGTGTGTTTGTCTCTATTTCCAGGGATGCTGTCTTGAGACTAGACAGTTGTGACTGCTGGAGTCTGAAGACAGTCTTCAACGATACTGTGGGTACCCATGTGTTAGAGGAGACTGATTACCCCAGTGTAGTTTCTGTTGTTGAATGGTGATGGGAGCATTACCAATGTATAATTACGTGGCCTGAGCTTTGATATCTGCTCAGGACTTTAAGATAGGTTAAGGTGGCACAGCCAGATGCTGGCTCTCTTCGTTTGTTTGGCATCTGATTGCTTCTATCTTAACTTGTGCTTGTAGCAGTATGCAACAGAAGATGGACTTGTGCACACAAGTGATCCAGCCAGGAAAGTGTCCAAAGAATGGATCTGCCTTTAAAGGTCCCAGCAGTTAGACTTCCTTAGAGAAGGTATTCTATGATAACAAACCCCAAGAAATGGGCTTGGGGATATCATAGTGTTTGCTTCAGACAACCACTGTACTCAGCAGAATGTTTCATTTGGTGCCCTGGGAGCATGGCTGCTCTGTGCTATGTCCAGAGTGTCTTGCTGCAGTATGTAAGACGTTGGCTACTAAAACCATCATTTAAAGATTTGACTATTCCAGTCTGCTTATGGACTGCTGCTCTTCCTACTTTTTAGAGCTTCAAGTGCATGCTATTTCAAGCTTTAATAACAGTATTGAGAGCCTCCAGAAATCTCCTCCGAGTCAGTTTTCTGAGGAGCAAAGTGCAGAGATGTTACTCTCCTTAGCAATGCACTGGGGGATAGCACTGTTCAGGCAGAATGAGCTGCTTTCTTAGGTAACTGCAGAATTTGATTTCCAAATCTTACACTGATGTAAAATTGCATCAGTGAAGTAGACTGTGTGTATAACTGGCAGCTACTCTCTTGCTTTTGTGAGCTTTCTGATCAGGCCACTTCAGCCTTTCAAGCTTGGTTTACTTGATCTTCTGTATAGGAACAGTCAAAGGGTGAAGTCACCCAGAAAGCATTTGTGCAGAAAAATGCAAGTTGAACTGAAAAGCAGTGTATTAATGACTGCACTGTGTGCTGTATCATGTGCAGTAGTCTTAGAGGAAAATGTAGAAATAGATTACAAAAATGTTTGTATAACCGCTAGTCTTTTAAAAATATATAGTCAAAGTAGTAATAGGATTTCTTCCCTGCCCTTTTCTTTCCTCTGGACCCTTCACCTTCCCTTCTGAAAATATAACTACAACAAAAATGCCCTCTCTTTTATTCTTCCTTTTCTCTGGCACAATGGCAACTTAGCCCAAGGTATAATTCACCCCTGGGCAAAATCTTCACCTTTATCATTGCCTTGCTATCATCTGTGCTCTTAAGACTCTTGCTAAGTGAAGTACAGCATGTGTGAAAACAAAAGTGACCATCAGGGCTAGCTGGCCAACGAGCTGGCTTTTGGTTGGGTTGATAAGATTAAACCCAGTCCCTGTGAGTGACACTCTGAGGCCATAGTTAAGTGCTTAGTGGCACCCTGGCTTAGACAAGCAGCTATGGGAGAATGGGAAGTGGTGTGGCCTAGTATATGGTGAGCATTGCCATGCAGTGACCTAGGTGTCAAGGAATATGATAGAACTGAGGGAACCTGTGGAGTTTCTTTCAGTGTTTTTGCCCAATCCAGTTTACAGTTTAGCTGTGAGAGTACCTGTGTCAGCCTAGAGGGGGAAAGGTAGAAGTGAGCAAAGCAGGCACTGAGGGATAAAGGCATTGTCATGTTGGAGTTGATTGTAAGACTTCATCTTGAAAGCTAAGAGGTCATGTAATACTGAATAAATTCTGTCATACTATTAGTGAAACACTAACAGAAAATGGGGTTGAAACCTGTGTAAGGTGAAAACTAAAGCCTTTGGTCCTTCTGTAAAGACTTGTTATTTTGGAAATCAAGAGATTAAGATTTGATTTTTATGGTGGTGGTCAGTGACTTGCACAACTCTCTCATGCAGATTCCTCCACTCTTTCTGATGTTTTGAACAAGCACCATGAGCCTTGATGGAGGTTTTGATTGCTTCCAGTTTTACCACTGTTTAAGCCCATTGTGTTCAAGAAAAATAAGCAGAGCTCTAGAAATCAGCAAATAGACCGTTAGCTGTTTTAAGATTCAATGTACAATGCTCAGACACGTGTTCACAGACTGCTAAACCCTTCACTGAGAGCACAGGTGCTGAAATAGAAGTTCTCAAGGGTTTCTTCTTGATAAAGGAAGTATTAACACAGAAATAGTTTAGTCTGAAGCTACAAAGTCTCATCTATTATGTTCTTTGAAATACCAAAATGTTTTTTTACTTAACTTTGCACATAGTTTATTCTTTTTTTAAGTGTTTTAAGATTTCTGAATGGTTTGATATTTTTATAAAAAAAAAACTTGTACATGTTTACAGTCTTTTGCACAGAAGCGTTCTATACAAGTGTCTTTTACGCAGTGCAGAAATAGGAGTACAAAATGGATTATCTGCAGAAAAAATGCTGTAACTGTAAAAACAAGTGTGGGATGTTAAAGGCTTTGTCTCTGGTTCTTGTCTTGTTCTGTCTGTATGTACTCGGGTTTTTAAACTTCAGTGGCTTACAGCAGTAGTCATTTTCAAACTTTGATCACACTGCTTGGCCAGAAACCGAGAGCTGCAGTTAACATCCCTGATACTAATTTTATTTTTCACTTCTTGCCCTCCCCACCCTGCTTGGTGCTCAGAAATCTTGTATTTAAGGGAAGGAATTGTGATCTCCTGTAAAACCCAGCACCTTCTCCTCTTTAAGCGAGGGCCAGGCAAAGACAGTAGTTTGAGTCGTGCTTCTCTGAGCTAGAGTGAGTATGCACTGACTGCAGCCCAGCTTGATAGCTGTCACTCTCGCCAAAGAAAGCAGATAATGTACATGCTCTTACTTAAATAACTGTCTTTTAGCAGTCTGTGTTCTCCCTGCCTGCCCTGGGACTGGACTCCAGTTAGGGATTAGAGTACAGGATGTTGCAATGGCAATTACACTCATTATGTGTACTGAAGAAAGGGGGGGAAGGGGATGGAAAAGCCTGAAATAGAGAAATTTGTGAGGCTAAAACTTGGAAATGGGATAGGGTCTCTGGCATGTTCAAAATAAATATTGCAGAACTGAGGATTACAAGCTGATCTGTTCTTGAAATGGGCCAGTTGTTGTAAGTTAGAAACTGTCTTCCAAGGCAGAAAGTTACCGCCAAACAAGATAAGGTATTTGGCAAAAAGACATGTCTCATTATTTAAAATCACACAAATCCACAAAAATGCACTTGGTTATCCTTCTAGAGCTTGATGTGGGAAAGCATTTGTCCTATGGCTTCTTTCTTGCTGGTCCAGCTACTCCTGGAAAGCACAGGTGAACTGCTGCCATCCCAAATGTAGTTCCTGTCCAAGAGACAGGCACTTAGAGCTGTGGATGTGCTTTAGTCCAAGACTAAAAACACAAAGATGGTCTAGGGTGGAGGGCCCAGGAGCTGGGGCCCGTATCTGCTGGAGAGGTGGAGCTCCGTGTTGGGTTTTGCCTCTTTCTCCCATATATACCTTTTAACTGTGACCAAAGAGGGAGCTGCACCTTTGTGCTCCATCAGCTGTGCATTCTCTCAAGAAGAAAATAGGCTTTTTGCAACATTGCAGCCTGAGAAGGGCATCAGCCCCTCTTGTAACCAATGGTTGTGTAGGGAAATCTGTCACCTCTGTGGGTATTGGAGTGAGGGCTGTGGGGGCACTGCACAGGGAATGCCTAGTGTGTGTCCCCAGCAGCTTTGGAGCCTGTTTTGCTTTTTCTTCCCTGATTTTTTTTTTCCCCCCAAACTCAGCAGAAAGCCTAGCAGAATTGTAGGATCTAATTCTGTGGCTCCTGGGAGGCCCTTGGGGAAACCTCAACAGTTGGGACAGAGTTCCTGGTAAAGCACTTTGGGTATGGGATGCTTGTGTTCCTCCTATAGAACTATTTGTGTTCTACAGTAGTGCCTTGGTGTCACTGAAAATAAGTACAAGGTAAGAGAAACAATAAAAGGGGGTGCAGGAAGTGGCAAAGTAGAAAAACTCTTACAGACGAGGCAAGATATAACAGAAATGAGGTGCTCTAATTTAAAAAATGGAAGGGAAATAAATCTCTCTTTCATTGTTGTCCCTTATTCCTTTGCTCTTTCCTGTATGGCACCCTCCTGCAATCACTACAGCCATAGTAATCTAGATTTATGTTTTCTTCTGGCAAACTTCACACTATTGCAGTCTGAAGTATGTGACAGGGAATTCTTTTAAATTGCTGTTCTGTAAACATGAGTATATTGAACGTGACTAATTGATGCCAAATACTTCAAAATTGTATTTCCAACATTTCAGAGGAGGTGGTTCTGCCTTTAACTTTGGAATGCAATTATAAATTAATAGGAATGCAGAAAGAAAATCAGCCTGTATAAGGTACTTGGGGAGTGATGGTGGAATAGAGACTTTACATATTAACTTCACAGGAATATCCTAACTGTGCAAATACAGATGGGGAATGAGTAGATGGGCATCAGCAGACTTTGTAGCAGGAAAGCTTTGGAAAAATAAATCAAACTGAATGCACCAATAATTAAGTGCTTTTGAAAAACAAAGGCAAACCTCATGTTTGGTTGCACAAATGGGCCTTTTGCGTGGGATGCCCTTCAAGTTTTCCAAGTCTTCTATCCAGTGCTGGTAAAACTTTAGCAAAAACGTACAGCCAAGAATTGGTATAGAAATTGCAGAAAGATGTGGACCAACTGTGGAGAGTGAAGAGAAGGGATGTGAAAACAGCTCCCAGGGGCCTGTGGTGGCATTGGGAGTGCTTAGTTTGGTGAAAAGGAGGCTGAGGAGTGGCGTGAAAGCACTATATTCAAAAATACAGCTATTAAGAGAGGAGGAATGAATTCTTTCCATTGTGCACTACACCAGGAGAGAAGGATGGAGTTACAGCTGGGGATTAAAGGAGGCATTGGAACAAGCCTTTCTGTATCAGCAGTAGTTAAATTCTCATCTGGACTGCCTGGGGAGGATGCTCCATCTCCATTCATCTGGATCCACTGGTATAGCTGATCTTGCTATCAGGCACAGGCGTGGACAAGATGTTCTCTTCAGGTCCCCACTGGCCTTGTTTTTTATGATGATACGGCTTTGTTCTTGGGACCCTGGCCTCAAATTTTATAAAGGTAGAGGTATATCCTAATATATATGATCTGAGTTGAGTTTTGTGTTATATTTGTGTTATATAATTTCTCATGTCTGGTATTTTGGGGGTTCTATTTATGAAACACAGAACTGAACCCTTTATATTCTTTTTCAGTAAGTCTGTCTATTTTGACTACAATGCTAAATTTAATCTAAAGCTGAGTTAGGATACTGTTCCTCCATTATTACGGTCATATGCTTTAGAAATCAGTCTAGAAATGGGGCAATTCTTACAAAAAGGGAGAAATGTGTGTATTTGGTGTTCTTTTTGCAAGACGAACTAGGAAATCACAGCTTTGATATCTCTAGGTATCTCAATTACATCAGTTAGGGAGGTTGTCAGCTGGAGGCGATTTTATTTAAGCAGGAAAGCCTGAGCTTCCATCAGTAAAGATATAACTGTCTGGGGCTGATGTTATTGATTGAAGTTGAGGCATGAATCTATCACTCATATCCAGATGTGTAAAAAAAAAAAAAGTATGTAGTATGAATGTAATAACTGGAATTAACCTGAAAAAAAGATTGAGAAAATATATCATACTTTCATAAAGACTGCATGTAAAATGATTGTTTTACATGGGGGAAATTCACCTTCTGAACTATGTTCTTAGTAAAGTCCTTTTTTAAATATAATGGGTTTATATATAAAATATAAACTGTGGAATCAAATTATACCATCTACTAGCCTGGATAACCTAAGGAATGACAACCCTGTTTACCCTAATAAGTGTGTCCAGTATTCAGGTTACTACATCTTCATCCTGTTTCTCTCCTTTCTTTGTAACTGAGCTCAGCAGCATGTTGTCTCCCATATTAAAAACCTAAACTTGAATATTTATGTCCTTCACATAGGTTTTCCAAGACCTTAATGTTAAGCATGTTTTAAAATAAGCTTCTGTCTAACACTGAGGTGTTTTCTGCGGTCAGTGCCAGCCCGCATGCCACGATGTTACACTGCTTAACTGGGAATGGTGCAGGCTCTCTTGGCTTAAAACCATTTGAAAATAATCAGAATTCTACCACAATTTGTTTCCTTTGAAAATAATGCCCTGCATTTACAATAGGAATTTTTCTAAGCCTGAAGGTACTTCTAAAAATTCCTTCCTTAAATTTTTTTTTCTATTTGCACTTTTGCAGGACAAGGGATGATCTCACTAAAACATCTTGCAACAGCGAAAGCTGTAAGTGGGTTCTGTACCTCCATGTACAGCTCTAGAGAATTCAGTGTGCTCTTATTTTGCCAGCTCTGAAATTTCTCATCCCAAACTTACTACCATGCACGTGCATTGAATAAAGTAACTTGCAAAGGCCTACCCTAAGTCCTTGAGCACAAAGTGGGTTTAACCTGTAATTAGTAACTTGCCAACCACACTGTGTATGTTCTGGTGTCAGAATTGCAGCAGTGCAGAGACGTAATTTCTCAGGGTGCTTTTAGTCTGTCAGGGTGCTGACAGACTAAACACTGCACTTCAGGATTTTGCAAGTGGTGACATCCTAAAAGCCACGCTGCCAGAGACAGCACATTGCAATGGAAAATGCAACATCTGTGCTGCCTTTGGGTTGTTTGGTTTAATAGTGTAACACCTTCAGCAAAGGGCCTTGTTAAAAATGCAGAGCTGGTAACAACTGGCCAAAAGAATGAGGAGAGAGAAGACTCTAATCCAACCCCTGCAGTGGCAAAGTGCTCTGGGGTGGAGTGAGGGTGAGGATGCCCTTTCCCCTTCTGCAACCTGGACTTTCTGCCTTTTTTCATACTCCCAACTATCTATCCTGCCCTGCTCTTTTTCCAAGGTCACGTCCTTGGTCTCTCTGGAGCTGAGGAGGAGAGTAGAGCCAGGCTGTGCCCCTCATGGGGCAGAAGGGCTGCAGGGGAGGGGGCAAAAGACACAGACTCAAAGTGTGGGGTCTCTTGTGCAAAGAGAAGGTAGCGAGGGGCAGGTATGGCCCACTCTCCAGCATCCCCTGTCCAGCCCCTGGACCCACGCCTCTGGGAAGCAGCCCATGTGTTTCACTGGTTTGCGGGCCCCTCAAAGCAACCGGTTATTTCAGGGTGTGTTCAGATGCCATGTTTGGCTCGTGGATCCACACAGACTTCTTTTTGGGTTCTGTTGTCATTAATCCCTTGGATGGAGATGCATACAGCCACTCTCACCTGCATTCTCACCTGTACAGGAACCCAAGGGATCCTTTTACATACTGCAGGCTAAAGATGGGCTACTTGGTAAACCAGCCTGGGCAGTCAGAGTAAGCATAAGAGAGATGAGCTTGCTTTCATCCACCTTTGCTGCCTTTGCCCTGCTTGATTTGAGAAGCCAATGGAAGGTTGTGCTGTGCTAAACCAGAAACAAAATACCTCCTTGTTTTCATGGTGTAAATGGAGTGTGGTGATAAAGAATGTTCTCCTGTGGCTCTTGCATGTTGCATGGCAGTTGCTTGGCTTAGTACGTGCATCTCACCAGGGGCTGTGTAATCCTGGTCTGCATGTGGGAGCTCCTGCAATGAGGCACTTCAGTAACAGGAAAACAGCTGGAGAAGCACCATGGCCCCACTGACAAAAGTTATTGAATACCAACCCCACTGCTTCATTCACTGTTGTGAGAGGACTGACCAGCTGCAACTGAGCAAGGAGCCCACATGAACTCCGGTAAACCAGACCCTGACTGACTCTGACTGCTTGTGAGGTGGCTGAAACACAGACATATCACACACACAGAAAGGCTGGGACACACAAACTTAAGTTTCTTTTCCACTTTATGACTCCAGTTGATGAAAAATATCACCTCTGCCTACACGGTGTGCCTCCATTTGTATCCTGGGGCCATGATTTCATAGTATAAGAGCAATCCCATCAGAAAATCTCTTCCTCCTTTTGGCCCTGTGCTGTCACTGTTGTCCTGAGCACAGTTCTAAGGGTCGAAGGGCACAGAAATAGTTTGCTATTACTGATCACAGCTTGGAGCTGGATCAACAGTGGTGGCTGCTCAGCCAATGGGAGCCCCAGTGCAGCCAGAAACAAGCAGGGAGCTGAAGGAGCAGCATCAACACTGGGCTGTCACTAGAGCATCACAGGATCCCAAGCAATGAACCAGCCTGAAGGTGAGATTTAGGGAAGGACAGCTGGAGTCACAGCACTGCTCTCACCCTGATGATAGCAGTAGCATATTGAGTAACCCCACATCAAACCTAGGCTTTCCATGGCAGGCAAATGGGTGGCAGCAACTTATCCCACACAGCCTCCTCGCACCACAGGAGAGAAACCAAATGCAGGAGTGGTTTGGACCACTGAACCTTGTCTACCCCAGTATCAAACCCTCATACTGGTTTTTGAGCCTGAGTGGTGATGAAAGAGCAGCACTGGGCTCACTACACTCATAGTGGGAGTGCTGAGGCCCTGCTGTGAGTTACTGCTGGAGTCTGGGAGGTTTGGGCAGGGGTGAGGCTGTGCAGCCCCACTGCAGCTGGATCCCGATGGGAGGGTGTGGGATCCTCTCTCACATGGCTGCAATCACATTTGGGTGCGCTTAGCAGTGAGAGCCCTCTGTGACAGCACAGGAATGAGCACAGAGAAAATTAAAGATGTCCTAGATTAACCAGCAAGCCTGGTTTCCCTTCTGGAGAGCTGTTACATGTTGATGCCTGCAGAGAGAATCTATCCATCACCGCATAAGAGGCATCAGCAGCAACAATGGGACTCTGTGAGTGTTTGCAATCTGTAATGTCAGACCCCATGTCCTGTGTGCATCCATGCACTGGACAGCACATGGGCTGCTGGCTCTGTCTGTGTGTCTCTCCACCTGCTCCTCTGGCTGCCAGGAGCCAAGGGATCACCCCAGCGCTGCTTCACTTCCAGTCTCCAGTCCTGTATCAAAGTCAATGTGAGGTTATAGCGGAAGGTGTCTCCCCAGCACTTGGCTGGCAGCAGCAGCAGCAGCATCTGGCATGTTCACACTGCCAGAGGTGGCACAGCATCACTTTGCCTGCATTTCCCAGGAGGTTGGTGTGTAATTTGGGGTGCCAGATACGAGCCAAACCAAGAACAAAGGAGCCTGTTCATTAAAAAGTTTCATCCCGTGCAGAGCTGCCTGCAGGGTGGAGCGAGAAGGGATGTTACATGAAATAAATGTCTCTCATAAGGGATCGCACATAAGCACGAAGTTATGGAATGACAACATTTCTAGAGCACTCCGCAGCTTGGAGCCATTTCTGGCAAAAAGGCCCTTGTCAGTACTCTAATACAATTCATAGATGAGCTATTTTTACTAACAAACATCTCGGATGGAAAACCCAGTTACAACCAGATGGAAAAACCTAGTAAGACAGAGCTCATAGATGGGCTTTAACACTCGATTCTTTCTCAGACAGCAACTGCAAAAACAGTGAGATGGAATCACATGTTCAGTATTTCTCTCTGACTTCAGATAAAAAAACATCCTGTGCTGGAGGAGACTGCACCCAGAGGTTCAAACCCAGCCTGGTCTCCCAGTCCCAGGCAGGCTGGGTCTCCCTTCTGCACACTGTCACCAGTTGCAGCTGCCCTGCAGGTTCAGTAATTCCCTTGTCAGTGCCTGGTGAAGGCTTCTGACTGTGCAGGTACCCTGGGTTATGGCTGTGTGATGTGTGGATACCCTGGCTTACAGTCACCCTGGGAGTTCATGGTCAGCAACACTGTTTAGGGCATTACACAGTGTTGGTGTGTGTGTTACCCCCTTCCAAGCAGGATCAAAAAAAAAAACAAGGTAAAAATGCATGAATAATGACAATGTAGAACGGGCTGCTGTGGTTCTCATACACCACAGGGCAGTAACAGTGTATTTGATGTCATTACTCAAATCTTCGTTCTTGTGACAGGGGAAAACATTATTGGGGAGGAACTGGGTTGCTCTGGGACAGCCACCCCATCTCCATAGGCAGCAGCCTGCAGAGCAGGACCAAGCTGTTCACCCACCACTGCATGGCAAAGCAGAAAAAACTATTTGGAAATAAGCTCTTGGCCACAACGAGTTTGGAAATAAATGGTGCTTCTGGTCTATTGTGCAGGTGATTCTCTCCCCCTCCCAGCTCGTTACAAAACCTGTGAGCTGTGACCAGCTTTCTGGATGCTACAGGCGAGTAATTCTCCTATTGAAACATTCTGGCTGCAGCACAGTGAGACTTGGCATTGCCTCTGCCAGCTGAGGCCATGGCCACAGGGCTGCTTTCCATCCCAGGAAGATGGAGACTGGCAGGTGGAAATAAAATAAGGTAGCATCTTCCAAATCTGTCCCTGTATGTGCGCTGGGATAAATGTACAGTGGCTGAACGAACCAGAGGGAAGGAAATTCCTGGTTTAATTAAATGAGCAGACTGAGCAACCAGATGCTTGAATAAAGGATAAAGAGAAGCCACCTGTCCAGGGGAGAACTTAGGGGCTGGTTGACGCAGGGACCACCTTCTCCCAATCCTGCCCTTGGGGGAAACACTGTATTGTCCCTTGGCATGTACGTGACTTGGACTGGCATCAGTGGTGATCATACACTTGCACAGGAGGGGAAACCAAGCTCCCCTTGACAGCAGACACTGGCTCTCCCTGCAGTGCACACCAGGATCACCTGACAAATCCTGTACAAGCGATGCACAACATGCTTTGGGTACTGACAGATTTACAGAGAGCTGCTTAAGGTGGAAGGCAGCTGCAAGGCGCTGTATGAAGCACTTCACATCCTTTCACTGTGATCAACCCAACTGAACTAATGAGACAAAAGGCAATTTAAAAGCACCTTGCAGACTACCTTGTCCAAGAGCTTCTTAAAATACACAATGAAAGTGCATTTGAGCTAAAAATACGGCATCAGTCATGACAGTATATAATAGCTATAATGTTTAACCTAGGAGAAATCAGCTCTGTTAAGCATGTCACTTTACAACTGCTGGCACCTGGGAATAGCGTCTGTGTTTCTGGGTCAGTCTTTCACATCCCAGTTTGTCAGACTAAAAGAGTCTGAACCGCTTCTACCTAAAACATAACAGCTCTCTGTATTGCCCACTCCATAAATCTAATGGCCAGCAATGGCGCAACAAAAATCATGCGGGCAGCTGGTGAGGGAGTTGATGCCTGTGATTTAATCCATCCCAAAATCAGTTTCAGGCACCCCATTTCAATGCAATCTGTGTCCTGCAGAAGAGTTCTGCTGCTGAATTATTCCTATTGGTCCAAGCCCGATAGCGGTCACGGCCTCCCTACCCCATCCTGCAGAGCTTCCCGCAGTCCCACCCTCTGGAGGCTGGCTCCATGAGAGCAGGGGACCTGAATTTCACCCTTATGCTTTGCTTGGTTTTAGCACAAGATGCCTAATGAACGTTATCTCTAAGCAAGGGAAAGTACAAACAGCTTTTATCTCCACAAAGCCAGGCAGTGTGTGTCCCCCCACCGGCTTGGAGTCAACTGCATCTATCTACACAGTTAAAAACTACCAGCCCCTTATCTGCAAAACCTCTTGCAACAGACAGATCTGAGACATCTCCTGGCTCTCGGGACAAAGACTGAGGCTTAGGTCTGCACTTTAAAGTTTCCTGTTTCCAATCGGGAGTTTGCAGGGCTTGGTGCGTACCACCCCCAGCCAAACAAACAGCCATACCAGCGGGACTGCTGTTATCATAAAGTGAAACCTATTTAAACTGCCATCCTGATATCCGGCATCCCAGTCCCGATACAGCTGAGGAGAAGCAGGGAGTCAGTTCAAGAATTAGTGCTGTTTGCTCGATAAATATTGATGGTGCGGAGCAAGGAGCATTGCAAAAGGTCCTTAAAAATGTTCAGGGGATGAAAATTGCTGGCACTGTTGTGATTCTGGAGCTCAAATAATAAATGATTCAACAACTGTACAGTTACCATGGGGATGAATTCTCATTGAGCCTAAAATTACCAAGCTGCTGACAAGGACCTATTTTTAGTATCAGCAGATGTGTATCTTTAAAAACATCAGCACAAACCTACTACTGTGTGTTTGTGTGTGCACGCCTGCTCGCCCGTTAATTGAGTTTTCTGATGCTAATAACAAAAGCAAAAATAAGTAGATGGCTGCAATGGACGGTGCAGCAATTAGGCTGGGGGTGATAAGTGGAAGTTGCAATTAATACCTGATAAATAAAGCATGAAAAGTGGCCAGATTGCCAGTATGTAACTGAACTAGTAAGCAGAGCCCTTCATTATGTCAGCTAATGCACTACAGTAATGGAGTGTCTATTTTCGGTGCCTGTGAGTATCTAGTGGGAAGCGCCCGCCTGCACAGTCACAGCCCCACGACACAGGAAAGCGGAGGCTCAAAGCTGACATGAGCTGCTGGCACAGATCCTCAGTCTCTGCACATGAAGGCTGAGTTTGTCAACGTTCTCCCTCTATTTCACACTTGAGGGAGGTGCAAGGATACCCCCCCCCCCCCAAAGCACACAGATTAGGCAAGGTGCTAACACATCCCCACAACGACATAACGGCAGCCAGGACTGCTGCCAAGTCGTGGAGTGCTTGCTAACCACTTACCAACTCATCCCATCCCTGCTGACTCACCACACTGTCAGCAATGCAAATCGTGACACCAACTTCAGGTCCCTGCACCACTGACTTTGACTGGGTTTTTCTCATTAACTCTAATAGGTTGGGCTGGAGACCTGCCTTTTTTTATATAGCTTAATTTTGCTGAGGGAGAGGCTGGAGGGTGGCTATAATGACATCTCAGTTGGTGATAAAAGGATTGGTTCGTTTTTTGCCAAACACGTAGCCAGATAGACATATCTCTGCTCCCTTCCTGGCATGCCAGTGCAGTATATATACACACAAACCAGCTGAGCAAAAATTAAACTCCATACATTGCAGCCGAGCATAGGGCATTACAGGAGACAGTTCAGCAGTTTTGGTCAAAAACCAAACAAGCTCTTCAAGTTTCTGAGAGGCAGCAATGGAGACAACAGAGAGGACCACAGTGGTTCATAGTAGGCAGTAGTGCTCCCACCTGCTCTGCTGCATGAGGTGCTGCTCACGCCTCAGAGGATCAAGGGGGGAAAATAATGGCATTTCAGGTAAGAGAAAGAAGAGTTAAGGATGAAGAAAAGCCCTTGTGCCAGGACACATTTGAAGAAAACCCAGCTGTGAATGATCTTCTATCGCAGAGCCAATTATGTAAAGGGGCCTGATTAAACCATCCATCATTTCCCATTTTTGACACTTAATTAGGAAAGAACAGTTAGTTCCTCGGAGTTGGCTCTTTGAGATGTGTTGGCCATATGCGCTCTGCTCTTGGAGCATACGTGCCTCTATTACAAATGTCTGCCTCCACTCCTACCACAGTGTCCTGCCGCTGCAGAAAACTCTCCCCTTTCTAAATAAATGAATTGATTTTGTATGATTTGGAGCTTGAGGGAATCTTGCTTGACTTCAACAGAGCTGCCCCTGTGGGAGCCAGCCAGCTGGTACTCCAGGTGAGCTTCAGAGATGCTCTTGTTCAGAAGGACTGTCTGAACAACTTGACCATGCTGCTGAACATTAAAGTGAGAGCTTCAGGAGAACTGGAGAGCGGAACTGCCTGGGCTGACCCTGCTCTGTTAAGATCATGTGTGTGGGCTCTCATTTGAATTTCCTAATGACATTGCTAAAAGAATAGGACGGTATGCATGGGAGGCCAGGGGCATATGGGAGCACACAGGCATGTCTGAGAGGTGGCTTATCTGAAGCAAAGGCTGTGAATTTAAAACATTCAGTTTTCAGTTTGAACAATCAAAATTAGAGGCTCTCTGCTCTCCAGGCAGAGTGAAACCCCCAACACAGGCACTGGACTAGAACATTTTCTGAGAAGTCACCGGTTACAGCAAACTGCTTCCTCATATGGAAGGGTGTTGTCAGTTCTTGTCAAGTCCCAAGGCACTAGGTTTACTGAGATAAGAGCTGCTGTTATAAACACAATCCTAGGAACCCAAGGAATGGAGGTCCTTCAAATCTGGCTTTTCTTTCACTCTTTAAGGAATAACCTTTACCTTTGGGCACACATTAACACTGCACTCATTTGTTCCCTCTTGAGTCCAAAGGTAACAACAGATGATCCAGATGTGAGCCATGGGGGAAAAGTAAGAATGCCTGAACCATGAGGATGACATCTGGTCCTTTCTGCCTTTTGCAGGGCTCGAAGAAAAGGTGCACATCTGCCTGAGCAGTAACGGCCTCCCTGTTGTAGATGGGCAATCGGTGGCTGGGGAAAGGCTGCTAGTGCTCTTGAGCCCTCACAGATCCCAGTGGTAAATCTAAATCTAGATCTAGAACAAACTGAGGACAGTTTTGTCAACCATAGAACCCTAAATGACAGAAGTACTTAAGGTGAATTGGCAGAAGCCAGCTTTGTATACAAGCATCTACAGGCCAACTGACCACAGTAGATCAGGTCTCCTGGCACTGACCTGAAAGCACTGGACCACCCATACCACCATGCACAGCTATCAAGAAAATCAGCTGTAACCATGACTAAATCTCCACAATCCAACAGTATGGAAGGGTTAGTAAGCTACGTAACCAAGAGGCAGCCAAAAT